GTCATGATGAGGAATTTAGTATGCCCGTCTAAATAACATTCCAGTTTCTTTCAGCGAATATTATGGCGGCGCATTCTTTTTCTGTGGTAGAGTACTTTTTTTCAGTTTCTGTAAACTTCTTACTGAGGTATAATACTGGATGTTCATTGTCTCGTACATCTTTCTGAGCTAAAAGGACACCCATACCAGAGTTTGAAGCATCAGTTTGCAAAATAATTTCCTTATTGAAATCAGGTGCATGTAGTATATATAGGCTTTTGAGACAGTTTTTTCTTTAGCTCTTCAAATGCCTTTGTGCACTCTTTTGTACAATTTATTTTCCCTTTCTTTACGTTTCCTTTCAAGGTTTCGGTTAAAGGTGCTGCTATAGATGAGAACATGGGAATTTAATGATTATAATATCCCGCTAATCCTAAAAATGACTTGACATTTTGTGGATGGCACGGGAAAATCAAGAATAGCTTTTACTTTGACGTCACTTGGCATTCTTATACCCCGATCTACAATATGTTCTAGATATTTTTCTCTATCTTGAGCAAATTAACATTTTATAGGTTTAATGGTCAAACCAGCGTCCTTTATTTTTTGTCAAAACGGCTTTCAGGTAACTTAGATCTTCTTCCCGGGTGTTTGCATACTTTTGTGGTGTAACTGTAGCACACACGCGCATTGGAAAGGTGCAGGTTCGGGTCCCGTCGAAGGCACTACTCATTTTTCACGTCTCCTGCTTCAAGATAACCTACTGTCTCTACAGTGGTGCCCGAACTAAAAGGTGGTGGATGATGATTCTTCATTTTGGCGACTGGGTAACGTAATCCCCAGTTGCCCTTTACGGTTTGTAAAACTCTATGTTAGAAGTTCACTCACCCTTTGCTTAGGCAAAATAAAAATGGCTTAATATTTCATTGAGAAATTTACTTTATACCGTTCCATGGAAAATTCATGCGCAGGTGTTATGATTGAGTCTCATTAAATAAAATTTTAATTTTAAATACAATTGTAATTTTTGAAAATCTCTACATATAATAAAAGAAAGAGTCTGCCTGTGTGTGGATCTGTATGTGTGTCTTTCGTCCGCGCTGCGCGTAAGCTAATAGACCCACGGCTACGAAATTTGGTACATAGGTGCATCTAGACAAGAGCCAGTGCACTTCGAATTTTTCGAAATTTGAATTCGAATTTTTTTAATTTTATGTTTTGTGACGAAATCGCGTCATTTTGAGACATAATGGGCTATAGGAAAGCGAGATTTTACTCTACACACTCCATTTTCACATCGTCATGAAACGTAGGCACTTAACTATTTTACGAACTTAAAATAAATTTCGTGTTTCCATAAATCGATTAAATACGAATTTATTTAACAAAGTGAGCTTAACACCTTTCAACGGTATTTTTTCTAAAAACGTTTATTTTAAAAATGTACAGTTTATTTTTCTTTGGTTTTTGGACACGTTAAACTTTCATCCTTGCGACTGCTTTTACAAAAAGAATTTTGGAAAAATGATAATATTTCCTATTTTTTAAAAAATTTTTAAATGAAGTTTCCGAGTACACTTCTTACATCTCACATCTTTAAAAATGTGATTTTGGCAACAATTTTCCTTTCTTATTGTTGTTGATAGATTTTTATCATTTTGAATAGTTTCATTCTTTTAGAAATATGGGTTTGGCAACAAATTTTCATCGTATTTCTTATGTCACTGTTTTTAAGAGATTGGCATATTTCAATGTCATTTTTACTTCCTTGTACGAAGTAAAAAGGAAGTATTGTAATCGCGAAAAGTTTCATTCAGGCAACATATTTCAACGAAAATATCCATTCTGACCGCTATCGAATGCATTTAAAACTATGTTTTTTTGCGTGATATCTGTACGTAAGGACACATAAAAGACTCGTTTCCTCCAAAAAAATTTATAAACTGCTTTAAAAAAAAACTAATTCTGAAGAGAATTTTTCGTGGCGTCTGTACGAACGTATGTACGTACGTACGTATTTCGCATAACTCAAAAAACGAGTAGCCTCAGAACGTTGAAATTTTGTATATAGGACTGCTATAACATGTAAATGTGCACCTCGTATTTTGGTTGCAATCGGCCGAACCAAACGTATATAAATATATTTATATATATATCCACTCTGTTACCCGGCTCAGTGATCTCAGTTTCTTTACTCTTATATGTTTGTAAATTGTACATTTTTTGCATTAAAAATGATTGAATTATGTTGTTTTTATCTTCCGATTAAGGTTTTTATGCCTTTCGTAATTCTGGAAGCAATATTTGTACAATTATCAACAATTTTAAAAGCTGTTTAAGTTGCGGTTAAGTTTTAAATAACATGGCGGACCTATTGTTTACATTTGAAACAGCAGAATTTGGAGATTTGTTGCCAATCTAGAGAAACTAAGCTTCGCAACACAAAATAACGCCTTCATGTTATTATTGTGAATTAAATCATGCTTAATCCTACTGGAATTTTTCGAGGAAATAAGTGTTTGGAGATTTAATTCGTAATTTTTAATGCAGATATTTTGAGTTTTTAATGTATTTTTGCCTTGTCCGCGAAGTGAGAACTGAATTAATTGAATGAGAAATACTAAATCGTCTGTGAAAAACTGGTTCTTTTCTGTTTTGTTTGCTTAATTTCCTTCATACATCATTTCAGCTTTATTATAATATTTGAATAGAACATGTGGCAACGATAATTCTTCAAATGATATAAGTTTTGTGCATGCAGAGTGTCCTTATAGTAAACAAATATAGTGAATTTTAAAGAGTGCATTTATTCTATTGTGGTTTATGCGCTGTCGACGAAGTAGATTTAATTTAATCTAATCAATTTAAATGAAATTTAAGAAAAAAAATGCGTATCATATATTATATTCCGTACAAGGAATTCATGTGGTGCACACATCAGTCTTTTTATATATATAATACATTTTTATTGATTTTTTTTTCTTTTGGATAAAGTTGTTCTGCAGAGTAAAATTCTGCCCGTAATTTTTTGTTTTTTGAGTTTCTTTCATGGTTTTTGTTTTTTTTTTTTTTTTTTTTTTTTTTTTTTTTTTTTTAGCTTATTTCACTGTTTGTAAGATATTGAAAAGTTTTGCATAATTTTTTCTTCAGAGGAAAGTTGGTTAATTTTTTATATGTAATATACTTTTTTTAAGAATTTGTTTTTTTTTCGGAAGTTTTCTGCAGAGTAAAATTCTGTGCAGTTTTTAAATTTATCGTTTGGCAGGGCATTTTTACGGTACATTTAAAAGCCAGACGAAGGCTGGCAGCTTAGGTGCTAGTAGTAAATAAAATTGTAATTTTTGGAAACAATTTTAAAATAAAGAATCATTTATACAAAAAAAGATTAATACTTTTATTTTTAAATAAAATATGCATGGCATTCTCTCTGAAAATAAACAAAGCAGCAAAACATGCATGATATTTCTCGCCAGGTTTGAAAAAAGAGTCATACCGCAAAACGTGATGCTCGTACTCCAAGATTACATACTATTCAAATTAGAGGCTAAATATATTTAACGTTTTCATAACGTGAAAACAATATGAGGGAAAATTTCAAGAACTATTAATTTGTTTTTTTTAAGCAGCAATTTTTGAAGCTCAGTACATGCATAGTGTATCTTTATGCTCCTCTTGTGATATGGAGCTATCAAGAATATATGTATGCTTTTAAAATAATTAAATTTAGGTTATTTTGATCGCTGAACTACTTGCTAACACTGGTATTACTTTTGTGAAATTAATTACTATGATGACGTGCCGAAACATAAGTCTTGCTTCTAAGATACTCGGGGTCAAGCATCGATCGTGAGTTAATGGTAGTTTGTTGCACTATCTGTATTTTTGGAATTTTTTTAAAATAGATTACTGTGTAAGTTATAATGACACTAGTAAACTTTCAGGTGAAAACAGTCTGAATTGGAAATTTCGTATTGGACGTTTCTGTTGTAACTATTACTTCACAATATTTAAACACGTGAGTGTCAGCCCTTTTGGTACTGTAGCCTGAATTACTTTCTTAAAAATGAGTAAAAATTAACTTGGAAACTTTTCTTCTCGACAATTTATTTCTTTCAGTGGCAAAGAAGTTTAATTAACTAGACATTAGCATTTTGCTTAAAAATAACACTATAGTTCATGAATCAGGTGAAATAAAACAGAAAATTGTTTCAGCGTTTATCTTCAAAAATCAAATTTCTCAAGTTTTGTGTCCCTGCGTAAATATTGTGAGGGGAGACAGACAGAAGCCGGGTTTTTTTTTTTTTTAAATGGATGGATATGTTTGTAATAAACTGTTTGCATGAACTGATCAAACACTAAAATTAAATCCGAGAAACGGCAATTTTACTTTCAAAGGGCGTAGTTGAGTGATAACTGTAAAATCCTTATAATTATGCTATGTATTTTATTATGTTTCAGTCCAAAGATGAACTACATAAAATGGCAATTAACATAGTAATTGAAAACATGAAACTTTCGATTTATTTGATAGAAATTGGTCTTCTCACACTTTACATAAAAAGTCAGCAAACATACATTAAAAGCAAGAGGGAAAACTAAGCGAAAATCGTTACCCTAAACCATCTCTGAATTTTTGTTTGTTAGCTGATAAGAAACAAAAAATTAAAATATTAAACTAAAATATTAATTTTTGTCAGAATAGTTAGAAAATAATGCGTAGCAATGTATAAACAAGCCATTAATAAAAATGAGCAAAATGTTTATTATTTCTCATTCATATTTCGAATCGTTTTCATAACTTAAAAACATAAATTTTGAAATTAAATTCAAAAGCACATTATAAATATCATCATTGCAAATATTGCAATTTAAAAAATAGAACTATTTATGATAATACTATTTATGATGATACGAATTCTGGCAACGTATATTAAAATCTATAGCTCCTGTGTATCAGAACTAATGTCAATTCGATGAAACAACAGGTGGCGAAGTTGAATATGATACGTCAACGAACATCTGTTTACATTAAATGCCAGAAGGCTTAAATACTCTTAAACTTGACTTACTTTCTCCCTTATTTCTAGAAACGGAACTTCTGGTAGACAATTTCGAAAGAATCTGAAGAAAACAATTATGATGTCTGATAAACCTTACAAAAGACTCAAACGGAGTAAGTAGCCTATTATTATCTTTTGAGACTAAAATAGCGAAGTTAAGAGTTACTAAGAAATTTATTTAGTATTTCTTTCAGATATTTCCATTTAGTATTCTTATACTAATTCACTTTTACTTTCCAAAAGACCTGTTGGTGTAATGCCTGCATAAAACTGTCGACAGATTCATTTTATTTCCACTGATCAATTTAATTCAAAACTTGATTTCTAAAATCTTTACTAACAGTAACTTTCCCTCTTCATTCTATGCACAGTGTTGAGATGTATTTCTTCTCGCACTTTGTTAAAATTCAATTAAAAATGGTTCTTGAAATAAATATTAGGTTCGTCAAAATAAACAAATCCAATTTCGACAATTTCATTTAAACGTTTAAAAGCATAAAAATATAAGCTACTCCATCTGAACATTTTTTGCTTATCACCTACATACTATAAAAATCTTAGTATACCATTTTGATGCTACCATTCCTGCAAGGCAAATCTCTTACTTTATTCGTGAATTTGCAATTTTTATTTTTATTGTCTATAAAAATCATTTGCATATAAAATTCACAGAACTGTATACTTATCTTCATTAAGTACAGGAATTTCTCTGAGTGCTATTAAATATTTGAAACGCTTTTTAAACTTCCTAATTTGTCTGAAAAATGGAACTAATTTTCCTACCTCAAATCACATATTTAAAAGTTATTTATTTGTAATATTATAATACATTTATAAAATATTTCATATAGTCTCTCAAATGTTGTAATGGTTACAGCTGATACTGAGTGACATATAAAGAGGGCTATTTATGATCCAGAATTCGAAGCTTTAAAACTGGTAACCATGCTTTCAACTGAAAGTTATAACATTTCCGTGAGAGATTTTAGTCCAACACCTAAAAAGAAAATAATTCAAAGTTAGTATAATACCAGTAGAATATGTATAGCAGGATATTCAGATTTAAGATAACATTAGTAGAAATACAGAAGGTGCTTGCATTTTTCAGAAAGATTTGGATAAAGAATTAAAAGCAAGCAAATATGATAGAATGAATCATTTCTAGCAACATCTCATTAATTGAAATGAGGAACATCATCTCCAACTTTTAAATTAATTTTTCTTTCAAAATGTCTCATTTAAACAAGCTTTGGATTGAAGGATATGTTTTTTGTGCTTTTCGAAGAGATGTATTCCTATTTCATAATTTAAAAACATTGTGAAATGCATGGTATGGAGGTCACTCTGAAATTTTTAAGATACGCGCAAAAGATAAGTGGCAGAAAATATTAGCGCTTGGATTCGAAAATATAAATTATTTAGCAGACGATTTTTTATTTCCCAGTTGCAAGTAGTTTAGCGCAGAATAAATTTTAGGCAGAAGGAAAAATGGAGTTGACGCGTGAGCATCATCGCGATATGATTTTCGATAATCTTAAAGTAGGATTAAATCAAGAAGAATGCGTTGAACGTCTACAATTAGCATTTGGAAATGAAGGGCCTTCTCGTGCTAATGTATTTAAATAGTTTACAGAATTTCACAGAAGTCGCAACTCTCTGCAGGATGAAGATTCCGTTGTCAGCAGTAATCCAGAAAATATATCTGCCTTACAAAAATTATTAATCTATAATAAGCGATGCACCTAGCAAATGATTTAGAAGGAACTGAATATTGGATCAGCCGCCATACATAAAATTATTCATGAAGAACTGCATATGAAAAAACTAGTTTGCCGTTGTGTTCTCCGTAATTTTAACTGAGCACCGAAAAGAGAAGTGTGTGGGAATCATTAAAGAAACCCTTAAATTACTTAAAGATGGTAGCCACTGCGTTATTTCTAAAATCGTAACTGGTGATAAAACGCGCATACAATTTTTTTTATCTAAACACATCAAGAAAGTATGGGTCTCTGAAGACGATTTCACGCTGTCAATGGTGAAAAGGCAATGTGCCATGAAAACAAAATGTACGCCGTTTTCTTCAAAAGTATAGGACCGGTCAAAGCCATCAAGCTAGAAGGACAGAACATAGTCACAGCTGAATGGCATACTACTGAGCGCCGCATAAGATAGCCACTGACCTGACTATGTTGTAAAGGTCTTACAGTGTTAATAGTCATTCTGGCAGAAGGGAATATTTCCTCCGTGTAAAATATAAATATAAATATTACGTGGGCATACAAGGCCTGTGTATAAGCATAGATATGTTGATTACAAACATTGTCTTGTACAAGTTACATAAAATCATGACAGCTATGTGTACATTTAACATTATCTGAATTCATATTTACAATACTTTTACCGAGATAATCAAAGTAAACTTGTAATTCATTTACACATTGACTGGATTTTCAATATCATTTAAACTGTTTTACGATATTATTTTTATCAACTACATACAAATTGGGTAGTAATATGCTTACATTACAATAGTTTTTGCTCTTGCAGTCCTGTTACTATTGTACGGGGTGAGCTATTTTTCTAGTGTTGATTTTCAGTTGTTGTAGTATTTTGAATTGCTATTAAAATTATACTGCGAAGATACAATTCTCAAGGGAGGGGGAGAATTTCTTAGTACCTTGCTGAGCATAGCCTGATTACCTCCTCTATTTTAGTTTTCGTCTGCTTGTTGCCGCAGGTATTCTCCGCCCATTGCGGCCAGTATTCACTGCTTGGCATTTTTAAATGCAGTTTATCGGTTTGTGGGCAGTTGAAGAGGAAGTGATCTGTATCACCTACCGCACCACATTCACACAATTCTGATGCTCGTTTGCCGAATCTCTTAAGATAATGTGGGAAGGGACCATCGCCAGTGTAGAATTCAGTTTGTGCTCCGCTGTATGTATTAAGTGAGCATGTAACTTTCGGAAAGAACTTGTAGGTTTTCCTCCTTGTGCTTTCCCTTTCTCATCTTTTCTGCCATTCTTGTAAAAGGCTATTGAGCGTGATTTTTTTAAAATAGGACTGAGGAAACACTTACTGCGTTTTCCAATCTACTGGAGTCATTGGCTGCAGGTTTCGCAAGGACGTCCACCGCTTCGTTGCCAGATGGCCTACTACTAAGTGTCCTCCAGAAACTCTTCAAGCGGTGAATGTTGAAAGACTCATGCTCCACCATGATAACCCATCTTCTCATTCAGCAAGACTGATAGTTGAGTTTACAAGGTATTTCTCCCACCTTCTTAGCGTGCCTTCGTAGTGTAGTGGTCAGCGCGTTCGGCGCATAGCACGACGACGTTTCCCCCAAGAGCTAAAGAGAATATATAATTTATATTTTCAGTTATTTTTTTCTACATCAACATTGCCAAATGGGTAGCACATGAATGTAACAATTGGTTCTAGTCAAGAAAATTCTTGAAAAACGTCTCTCAAATTCAGAGGGAAGTTTTATTATTTCATCATAATATTTCTCTTTGTTTAATGTATCTCCGTTTTTGAACAACCCGTCGAAAATATTTTTGAAATTTTTAAATTCATTCTTCATCAACTTCGAAGATATTAGCTTTAATTTGTTTTTGAAAGTATTAAGAAATCCAATCAATTCTACTATTGTTTGAATCTTTCCCCTTGCAAATGTAAGTTCAGTTTATTAAGTTGTCTTGTTATTTCAACAACAAAAACTAAATTCATCATCATCAACCAAACGTCATCGCCAAGTTCAACCGTGTGCTTTATCATTTGATTCGAAAAAATCTTTTACCTCTTATAGCAAGTCCCTAAATCTTTGTAAAAATATATTCCGACTTATGCGACTTAGCCAACAAACATCTGCATGATATAACAATTCCCCCGTAATTAAATTCGTTTTCTTCTAGTTGGGTCGGAAACATTCTTCTCTGAAGACGTTTTCCTCGAATCTTCATAATTTTTATGCAAATTCCCATAACACGACGCATGTTTAGAATGTTACAACAGAAGGCCTGTTGGTGAATAATGCAATGATAAGAAAGGAAATGCGGTTAAGTCAGCATCTCTGATACACATAGCCAAAAATGCATTGATTTTTGTTGTCATTGATACAACTTTATAAATTAGAATTTTTTCCGCCTCTATGTATTTTTTGAAGGCGCAATAAGCATCTTCACTTCGTGTTTTCTTCTTTAGAGGTAATATTGTTAATAATTCTCCTTTTACGATCATATCGTTAAAAACCATTCTTATAAATGCGAAGTTAAGAAATATCAACCATGTCCGTAGATTTGTCAAACTGCAAGGAAAAGCAAATACAGTTGTAATATAGGTCAGCTGATCGGCCAGATCAGAATTCATCATTTTCATATGGCGCGTGACAGTTCTACGCTAAATTTAATTGCGTTCTTTAATTGCGAAATTCATTTATTTTTGTTCTTAAATGAATCAAGTAATGAATCGCTAGCGTCCAGAAAAGTTTTTTTTTTTTTTTTTTTTTAATCATTTCTTTATCTGCTATATTTTTCTTATGTTTTGCTAACGCATGACTCACACGAAAAGATGCAACTGTTGCAGCCTTAGATATAGTATTGGATTAAATAAAATAAATGATAGGTGTCCCCTATTAATTTCGATTTAAATTCTTTTAACTTTTGTTTACGCAATTCGCTTTTAATGGAAAATCTGTATCAAAACTTTCATGCATGCTTCTAAAATGCCTTATAAATTCACCATTATAAAGAAAAACTGTTCTTCCCATTCTGTGTTAAAATTGTATGTTTTTCTTTTCTTAACACTTGTTTCCGACCTTGAAACCCTCTTTTAAAATATTGCAGATTACCATTTTTACTACAATAAACCGATGAATCTGTAACCGACGTATATACTCAAGCGTCATCGTGTGCTTCTAATGAAGGTACCATGTACACATTCATCAAATAATTAAGTAAACACAGTCGCATCCATTGTGAAAAGCTGATTCTCCAGTCTAGCTGGCATCGGTGTTCCATAAATATTTTTCTTTTAGTATGCGAGCCTTAAATCTTATTAAAGGTTGGTCACCCCAAAATGTCTTGGTGGTCCACCAATCGATCACGATCGACTTATTACCCAAAAATATTATTGTTTCAATGTTTTTTCTTCGGCTCAGATGATTCATCAGTCGAAGCTGCGAAGTGCATTTTCGACAATAACTGCATCCTTTGATTTTTCTTGTCGCAGTACGACACGAACGCAGTATCATACTGGAAACAAATTATTCAAGAAACCAGTGTTCAGCGAACTTCCAGTGTTCAGCGATGTTACCGCTCGGCCGCTTGTGGGCTCATTTTAATAACAATGTCGAATTTATTTTATAAATGCTGATGTCTTCTTTAAGCAGAAAAATTTAAGACTTCAGTTATAAGTAACAAAATATTACTTTAAGCTTCTGTTTACATATTTATTTTAACAGAAGAAAATCGTAAATTTGCGTTTTCTGAAAAGTCAGTGATTGAATATTTTAATGGAAAATTTTAAAATGTATTAAAATACTCTGTTACCATTCTTACATGTAGAAATTTGGTATTCATTCTAATTGGCGAAAATAATGTCCTTTCATTTTATTAAAACTTTAGAGTTATCTAAAATTTAAAAAAGTCAGATACCTTTCCATTGCAATTATTAAATCACTGTAAAACTAAGTATGGTATAAATTTTCTCTCATTTTTTGAACTTGTTTGTATTTACATCTCTTACATATATCTCGCAAGAGTACTTCATGTTAAAATTTAAATTTAATAGCCATAAGATTTATCAGAATAGTGTGTTTTAATTAGGATTATATTCAAGTTCCCTATCGTATAACACTACTCAACCAAAAACAATTATATGGTTATTTTTAAAAATTAAACTTTTCTTTGGAATATTTTGACAGTATGCAAATTAGTTCAATGCATAAAAAAGTTTGAAACGTATTTATAGTTAAGAACTCAATTTTTGATCTTTTATTTGCTGCACATTCTCAACAGAAAAATGCAGCATAAAATGACAGTGACATGAAATTTTTATAGTTTTTATGAAAAATGAGGTGGCATATATACATGTATCGCCTTCCAAAATGATATAAAAACATGAAGTGCGTTCTTTGCATTTTTCTCTTTGATTAACAGAAATATTGTTTTAAAACGCTAATGATAATATACTAAACAAGTAATATTTTAAAAAGCTATCTTTTTTATTTATAAAAAATACTACTTTTTTAATATAATATAAGGATAGGGCATATTAGAAATATAAAAATATAGAAATAATGTAAATAGAATAAACATATAGTTAACATAAAATTACAGAAAGCGCGATTCTACTTTTTTTTCAAACAAAATTAAAGAACGCGTTTCCAAAAAGAAATTGCAATCTTCTTCGAAGTGCATAATTACTTATTAAAAGCAACTGTGCAGTTTATTATGAGGTTTATTAAATAACACAGATCTCCACAGAGATGCTAACTGAGACAGATATGTGAAGAAACTAATTTCAGCATCATTTGAAGTGTATTCGATTTCCTCAAAATATCCAAGATAAAAAAAAAATGCATCTTATCAATTTCCAAGACAAATTTTATTTGGGGAAGCAATTCGTCTTATCAACACCTTTGAACAATGTACGTTCTAGTAACCGCAGTGGTACAATAAATGGATTTAGTGCGCACTTTTCCAAATGTTTTGTTTTCATCGGCGATTGTATAATCTTCGAATCATAAATTAAAACATAACAGTGAATGTATAGTTAATCCCGCTTTGTATGCCTGTGTGTTATAAAAGATAGTACATCTGATTAGTGATTCGAAGATCCTTGGCTCGAATTTCAAAGAAGGAATAATCAATTTTTCACTTTTTTTCATGCTTTGAAAATCCTAATGTTACTACAAAGAAATCGTAATAGTGAATGATTTACAGACGTAATGCGATAATAATTTTTAACCGATTTAAAGAAATTAAAAATTTTTATTCCAATGAATGAAAAAACTTTAAAATTATTTTCTCAGCTTTTGGTTGTAGGGTTCATCACCAAATGCCGACTAACTTCTAAGTGAGAACTGTAAGAGTAGTAACTGCACAGGAGAAGGGTTAGTACCCCTTTATTAACTCTTTAAAATTTACAATCCGTCAACTCGACGCGAACACACTACGCCTTTCTTGGGCGGTAACTGAAATCACAGAACTAAACTAAAAATTCGAAGATATGCACAAGTAGTAGAACTAAGCTACAGGGCTTAGGTATTCCTGCTTCTTACGCCCGCGTCGAAACTAGTCGCAGCAAGTAAATGCAATTAAGCCACGCGAACCAGCAATAACTCTGGGAGTACAAGCTCACTCAACGGAGGTAACGACAATAGCCTAACTCTCTCTAACTTTCCTACTGAACCTCGTTTTTAAACTCTTTCTTCGTAAGATAGATTTTGCATTCCTTTACGCGCGTTACCAAAATATTCTGGCATTGACAATTAGGGAAATGAAGGCTTATAGGAAAGCTTAAAATTAAAATTTAATTTTTTAGTTAAAAATAAATATAAATCTCCACATGGTTATCGTTACATTTTTCAACGGTGTAACAATAATCCTTGTAAATAAAGAACTTTTAAAAATTTGATTCAATTTGCATTTATTATTTAAATGAATATATAATTGCTTACAAAATTCTTATTCTAAAGGAACACATAAAGTACATTCTATTATTGAACTTTCGATTAATGATATCAACGATAATTCTTACTATTATTACACGAATACTGTATATATTTTTATATCTTAATTATTTTTTTTATTGCTTAGCTATATATCTTGCATTAAAAACGATTTTACCAAATGTTTATCTAATTCTAGGCAAAAATGAAGGAAGACATGTTTCGTATATTCCTAATACTACTGTGAAAACTGGAAGAATAATATGCTCAAAGCAAGAAGTCCCTATTATATTAGCCGTTTTATTTTTTATCACCACATTAACATCTTTCGCTGCACCAGTTGCAGGTTGCTCTGCAAAATTTGATCTAACAGAATATGAATGCAGTGCTCGAGACTTACTTGCAAAAGAACGTGCAGAAGGAGAACCCAAAGCTAAAACTGGAGAACTATTTCCATGGAATAATATATTCCTGCCTTCTTTTATACTACCACTGCACTATGAATTATTTATGTTTCCTAACTTAAAAACATTTGAAAATGTTGGAAGTGTGAATATAACTTTTCAAGTTACAGAACCAACAAATTTTATTGTTTTGCACTCAAAAGAACTTAATTTGTCACGCATTTCAGTCTTTGAAAATGATATAAGGGAAATACCTGTTCTTCAGCATCTAGAATATCCAAAATATGAGCAGTTGTATATAAAGATCGATGGAAATTTCCTGCCAAACTTGAAATATAAACTTTGGATTGAGTTTCAAAAAGAACTGGAAGAAAATATGGAGGGGTTTTACTTAAGTTCCTATACGACATCAGATGGCCAAAAAAGGTATGGTATATTTATTTATTTAAGAAATTAAAACATTTTATAAAAATGTATACCATATTTATTCTAGTATTTCTTCCCTTCTCTCATTTTCCTATACCACTATCAACTTTTGACTTCATCTCGTTTTGGCTTCCTTCTTGAATTTACAATTCTTCTTTCATTCTTAGACTATTTCGAAGATTATTACTGATTTACTAACAGTACGTTTCTTCAGTTTTAAATTAGGAAAGCTGTGAAGGAAATTCATTTGCATTTTAAACCAAACATTAAGTAGTCCCACAGTGGCCGGGTAGTAAGAGACTCCTAAATACTAGTAGCACGACCCAAATTCGAATCCAGACAAAAGAACTTGCTGTATGGTTGATTTTTGTACTTTTGTTCCCGTGTGTGACATGCATACGAGACAACCTGCCTCAGAAAGTCCTCCAATAATACATATATATATAAACAGGATGCCCACTAAAGTTGTTCGGCAGTTAAACCACCAACCGTTTAACTGCCGAACAACGGCTGCAGATATAGTCATAAAAGTGGTGTCCAGGTATATAGTAAAATGGCTATGCGCTACTACATGAGATAACTTTCAGAGCTTTTTTTTGTTGGTGGAAAACAGCGCAGTTAGCGTCCCTATCTCGAAAACGATGTGAGATGGGAAGAAAAAGTGAATTACAAAATTGTAGAGCATCGTCGATTTTGTACGAAAAGACACCTCGTGGACATGTAACAGGGAAGTAAAAAGAATAGAATTACGGACTCGATACAATATCGTAATCTTTAAACTTAGTTTATAGTTGAGCAATTTCTTTTATTTCACAAAAGTAGCACAGGAGAATTTAGCAAATTATGTTAAATTCCTGGATATATTTTGCACTAAATATGTTTTTTTTTTAATTTTATGCCAAAAAATTAATTTATGTTTAATATTTCTGTTTAATTTTAAAGTGATGAAAGTGTTTATTTTACCTTTGTCTTTGGCTCAATTAAAATGGAGGTCTGTAAATAATCACCAATCTTTAAACATACATTCTCCATAGGCATTACCGGGCTCATATCAGCTGTATTATCTATTTAACTGTACGGAATTTAGATACCAACTCATAGAAGAAGTAGTGTGAATAGTGCTATAGTGTACTAAGATAGTAGTATGATTTCTGTAGAATAGCATACTAAGATTTGCAAAAGACTTACGCGCAACCATCACCTTGAACAATCAGGAAAGAACAAAATTGTAATTGCTTCACATGAACGTAATAAAATTGCTACGGCTCATGCTCATGTAGGAGGACATATGACCAAAATGTTATATTACGTACAACATCAGTTAATGCATAAGAAGAAAATAATTCCGAAAATACTTCATATAAAAAATTTATATTTAAATGAAAAACAGTATTTTATAAGAATATTCAGAAAGCTTTCTCTCCAGTCAATTACGTAGTATGATTTTCGTAATTAATGTGCAGCATCATATTTAAGTGCGCGCAGAAAAGTTTAATCTTAATTATTTTATTCTTATTTATTTTAGTAAATTTATTTCCTCATCTTTAAATTATAGAATTATGCCCAAGACAAAAAAAAGGTCTGTCTCGTTATTGCAGTTTCAGTTATAAGTGCTTTCTTTCTGCTTTTATGCCATCAGAGGTCAAGTGGTTAAGTGGTTTTTGATTTTTCTATCCATTGGTAATGCGAATTAGTTCGAGGAAGTCCTCTATAAAGTATTCCTTTCCTCTGACAGATTAGTCCAGCTCGTGCTCTGGCATAGTTAACTAAATAAACTAACATTGCATTTTCGTACATAACTCAAACTTTTTTATTCAGAGTTCTGATGTTTAATGTGTAAAAACATTTGTTTTTTATTATGCCTTTGTTGAGTTTTCATTTACTTTATAAATTGTGCCTTTTTGTAGGTATCTTGCAACAACAAATTTTGAACCTACTGCAGCACGAACAGCTTTTCCTTGTTTCGATGAACCTGCTATGAAAGCTACTTTTCAACTCGTGATAGTGCATGATAAAAATTATAAAGCTTATTTTAATTCTGAAGCCTTGCAAACTGCTCCATATTCTGAAGAATTTTCTATCACATCTTTTCTCAAAACCGTTAAAATGAGCACGTATTTGGTTGCTTTTATGGTTTGCGATTTTAAAGAACGTGAAATTACAAACGTTGATGGTGTTAAGGTAAGTATTTGAAATGCTTTCTGTTTTATTTTCCTAATAAATCTAAACTTGATTGCTTTCCTTGTGGTCTGACCTTTTAATGCATGAATTATTCAACTATAAAATTCGAAACCGTTGAAGCTTCCCAGTTGGAAGTACCCACTCTAAAGAGTTTCAGTTTCGTTATCTAATGCCTATGTTACCGTGAAAGACCGAAATTGGAGAATGCCGACTTTCACCGGGGAATATCAACATTCACCAAATACGTCGGTGAAAGATCGAATATTTCTTTACATTCTTGTACATTCGGACCCTCACCGGTGTATATCGACAATCACAGATATGCTGTGGTGTAGGTCGAAAAGAGAGGAGTATATGTACACGCTGCCATTCCAAAAGAAAGTGTTCCACAAATAAATGCCGTTATAAAAGCAAGGACCTCTTGTGCATTTCAAAGTGTCATAATAGTTTAAGTTGTTGCAATAAATAAGGTTCGAATCACATAATTTGGTAAGTTTATAACTTCTATTATTTCCCTTTCTCATTTTGAATGTACTGTGTTTTAAGTTCTTATATTCTTAAGTTCTTATTCTGAGTCTCAAGTGCGTTTTTTCGCGAAGGAATTGCGGAGAAGGAAATATAATATTCTTATATGTTCAACATTCACCATTAGTACATGGTGAACGTCGGCATTCACCGGCGTAAGTCAGAAATAAGAGTATTTGGAAAATATTTCGGACATACACCAATCGACTATGTGAATGTTAACATTCATCGGTGAAAGTCGACATTCTCCAGATTTCGGTGTTTCACCGTAACACCTATATATATTAGCTTATCAAAAAACTTAAAGAAGTTTGATTTTGCCATGAACATACTTATTAACAAATAAGCAGCGATGTTTTGCATAACGTATTGTATTTGATTTATTCATATTTATTCTTGAGGACAAATTACCGTATTTGCGAGCGAATAACAAGCACCAGGCTATAAGACGCACCCCTTTTTATTATGCACATTTTTGAAGGATAAAACTGTATTGCTGGTCATTATAATGAATTTACAGTATTTTAAGTATAAAGTAATGCAAATAATACAATGCAATACTTTCTTCAAATACTCAATCTATCTGGGGGAAGAACACTTTTTAATCTTTCTCATTAAAACCCAGACACTCATCTCCAGAGCTAAATGAAAAGTCGTCACTTGAATCCTCTTCTAAATCAGCATCTGAGTCCTTATACAACAAATTGTTCTCTGTACCATCCAGTGTGATCGTCGATGTCAGCGCATGCGCATTCACTGAACGCAATTGTAATATTCCCACACTCTGCAAGGAAACAAGAAAAAAATCGCATGACTCCAAATAGAGGATATTTCCAGAAATGAAGTTAATCAAAACTGAGTATCGACGTATAAGACACACCCCATTTTTCAGACCTATTTGCAAAGAAAGAAAAGTGTGTCTTATAAGCCGGTAAATACGGTTAATCCTTTTGGTAGTTCTCTGGGTACCCAGTTAAGTTACCAGTCATTTTTGCTAAAATCTCCTTGCGGATTTTCTGTTATAGTTAAAGTGCAAGATATTTTTTATTGCAGTAGGCTTATAAGCTCATGGTTCTTTAGGCCTATAAAGTGGATAATAGCGCAAATTTTAGCTCGTTTTAATTGTGAATTCATGATTTAAAGGGTTTTAACTTTAAACTTTTACAGATTATTAATTTTTTAGTCCAAAGGGGCTTTGTCCCTGAAGGACTAGTGTTTTCGTTTTGCGTTGAAAACTTTAAAACGCTGCATCACTTTTCAAATCGTTGCCACCAAATACTATCGCCCTGTATTATATTTAAAGAAATTAAATAATGAAGAATCTGCATAAATGTATGTATGTTTCTCGCATTGTAATAAAATAACATTACCTAAAGCCATCCAGTTTTGAATGACGTAATCCTCCTACGAATATGGGCATGTGGAAGACCAAATTTGAAATTTGGAATTTGTTTTATGATCGATTTCATAATTTGTAAACCTTAAACGAATGTTTGATTAACAAACTCAGCGGTTTAAAAGCGAGCAATGGCAACACTCTACACAGGGGCCGAGGACCTTTTTATCTCTAGCGCGCGGATCTGTGTATCGGAAATTCTAAAGATATGCTCTTTTTAAAACTATTTTGCGATATTGCTCTTGAACTGAATTTTCTGGTTTAAGTTCAAAGGACGTGATATTTAATAAATAAAGATAACAAACGAAACGTTAAAAAAACGCCTCTTTGGACGTAGTTTAAAATCTGAAACCTTTCAGATTTTTTCCCCCTTCTGTAATTTTTTCATCCATACATAGACCTCACACGTTATGAGAGAGGTCTGAAACTCGCCCCCGAATATATTTGAATTATGCATTTGTAGCAAATGCGGTTTATATGATTTTAGAGATGTCAAGATAAGTACTAAGCCTATTTGCGCTATTATTCTTATAGGGTAAAACGATAAAATGAATAGATTGGAGCTTTGTCTTTGTCACTTTATATTTGTACGCGGGCTATTGACTAGGGTAATATGTCAGAATTTCTCACATTCTTATAGTAAATTTAGTTTGCCAGCTTACAGCTGGTAGTGCTTCAATTTTCTGAAATTTCCGATTTTCCGGTTAAGGTTAAATGTAAGATGTTTAGTAGTTAATTCAACAGATTTTAATTACCTGAAATATAATTCAAAAGTTTATATCTACTTGTTAATCGGTTTGAATTACGTGGTATAGCCTATGGAATATTCTTACAGATTAACTTTAAACTTCACATTGTTGAGTCTGTTAGGTTTTTCTGAAGCAGGAGACATGAAAAATGAGCAGTGCCCTCGCCGGGATTCGAACCTGGACCTCTCGAATACGCGCCGAGTGTGTTAACCGTTACACTACGAAGGCATGTCGGAAGGAAAATTCCTTTTTAAAGGGCAATTGGGGATTAGGGAATCCAATCGCCAGATTCTGGTGGTGAAGAATCATCATCCACCATCTTTAGGGCCCACTGTGAAAGTCATCAGATTTTTTGAAGCAGGAAACTGAAGAAATCAGCTATGTCCTCGCCAGGACTTGAACCTGGACCTCTAGAATACGCGTCGAGTGTGCTACCGTTACACCACGATGACATGCCGAAAGAAGGGAGGAAATATCTTCTAAGATGAAAAAATATATATATATATATATCTGACTTTTTACCTTTGATAAATATTATTATCACTATGGATGTAAGTTTTGATAAATATTCAGCATTTGAATTTATTTTTTATTTTTTTTATTTATTTATTTTTGTTAAAAGTGTTAAATTTTGTTAAATGTACATATATTTGTTCACTGAATATTCTGCCGTAATATTTTACATTTAACTGCAGCATAATATTATGAAAAATGTGTTTGTATTCCTGAATACATTTACCTCCACTGTAATTTTTGAATGATCGAAATTAACTGCAAAATTTAATTTCTTTTTTAATGTGAATTCATTTTTTCCTTTATTTTTAAAAAACTTTTTATTTAATGTTTTGCTTTAAAACGTTCTGTACCTTTTATTGTTTTTGATGTTATATTATGAACAAATCTATTTTTATGCTAAAATGTTATATTCGTGTTATATAGATGTTTTCTGTGTTCAACGTATACTAATAATTTAATCTGCTTTTAAAACTAGTTTAACTTTAGTCTATTTTATAAAATCAATGTAAATTCTGTGGTAGAGATACGTACTTGATATGAATCTTTGAAGATTGGAGGTTTTCAAAAGTTTGGTTTTACTCTCAAAACTTAGCTTGGCATTCCATTCTCACTTTGCTTTGTTGAACAGATGTTTGCTCCTTACTTTATATAAGTGGATTACAGAAATTATAATTTACATAAACTAATTGTTTTGCTTTTGAATTTTATGAATTGCTTACCTGTTTAGGAAACCTAATAATTATATATTTATATATGTATATGTAAGAAAAATAAAGAATATGTAAAAGATTAAATTAGCAGCTTAAATTAATTTCCCTTCTCCATTCTAAAAATAGTAACCTCTATTTGCACTGCGTCATTTAGAGAAAAATCTATGTCATATTATTCTTACGTAATTCTGATGATGTAAATGAAACTAAAACTCAAATAACCAATAGTAATTTTACAGCAATATTTAACTGTTCAATCAAAATGCCTTGAGAACCAAAACTAACTGAGTTTGACTTAAGATTTCATCCTGAATATTACGCACTTGCTTTCTACGTTTTGCTTTAGCTCAGCTGTAGTCTGTCTGCTCCTTCTTTTTCTGAAAAATCTATCAAAAATGTAAGTCTTTTGGAACAGTCACATTTAATGTGCCGACTTGTGTGTAGCCGCAACATGCTGCTGAAAATAAAACTGAAGATTTAATCTGCCTTCGCCTCTAATTTCCTAGTCATTATCAAAATTTCTCCTCCTGCTCTTCCGTTACTTCTGACTTTGTTTTTATTACGTATATATATGTGGGGGGTGAGTGTGTAATGTTAGCACAAGGAGGGGAAGCACTGATATAAGAACACTGAGATGTAGATGCGTACAAATGCTGATTGCAAAGAAACTTGATCCTGAGAACGTCCATCCATTTTGAAAAAAAAAAAAAAAAAAAAAAAAGAGTCGAGCCGGATAAAATTCCTTATTTATTTAAATTCACATTTGTGCCCTCAATTCACTTGGCACTATACTCGTGCCTATTAGAGAACATTTACATTTTTGATAACTGTCACGATAGGAAGCGAGAACTGCGATTGCAGAAGCATCTTAACATGAAGAAAGCATAAGCAAAAAGGGAAAGAGTGTTGCAGTAGTAATGCAGAGGAACAAAGGAGGGAGTCAAAAGGCTTTGGTTTACAATTACTTTGATTGGGCACGAGATATCTGCATTAAGGGTACGTAAGATCAAATGATTAATTTGAATGACTCAGTTTAGACTTATTTCGCTATTTTTAGACAGAGAGATGAAGTCACCAAATTAAGTGAAAAATAAAAGAGGTTATAGCCAATTAAATTTAGAAGTTCACTTATATATTTTTTTATCTTGCATATATATATATATATATATATATATCGCAATTAGAGATAAGACATTTGAAAGTAGAAGACACTATGCTCCGTTTCCAGCTATAATATGCTTTAATACCAAGTAAACTATTTGAAAAAAATAAATAAATAAAAATAAAAATCTGAAAATTTTCAGACTTTAAATTACGTTCAAAGCAGCATTACTTCAAAAATAATAGTTGGTGGCAACAGTTCGAAAAGTGAAACGGACATTCAGAGTCATTCGAGACAAAGTTCCTTTGGACAAAAAATTTTCAAATTTGGCATAAAACTGAATTTAACATGTTGAAACATTCCTTTCGTGAACATTTTACCCATGATCCAGTTCCACATCTCAATTTCAATTCAAGAAAGCATTCTTTATAAGTCAGTATATTGCCAGCTGAAGAAGTTATACAGATGTTAAGTGGCATAGAACTGTAAAGAAAACTTATCGATTTCTGATTAAGGCGCACTTTTGTATAATTAACTGCCAATGAGAAAATCATATGAACATTTAATCAGAAAATTCACATCAAAATTAATTTTTGTTGATTGTTTTTAAAGTATGTAATCTTTTTTGAAACATAAATATCAGTTTACTCTTTCAGGTTAGAGTGTTAATTCCAGCTGAACAATACGAGCAGTCTGAATTTGCGCTAGAGATAGCTGCTGATGTTCTTCATTTTTGCAAGACATTTTTCAATATCCCCTATCCTTTATCTAAATTGGGTAATCTCTTTTGTTTGATAAATTTCAAAGAGTTTATATTTTCATAACATTTTAAATAAGCAAACTAACATTGCGAGAGGCTTTGAATTGAGGATTGGGGGGCGTAACTGTGTGTCAGAATATTTTCTTTGATATCTAATAGCTTTATTATATTAATACTACTTTAAAAGTGAAAGCATAATAATAAATATAGATTATAGCAACTTACGAAATTTTAATTTAAACATTGCAAAATTCAGCTTTAGCTTGGTAGAGATTTAAAAAGCACGATGCGTTCCAAGAAACAAGACGATGCTGTATATTAATGCATCTTATAATTAATTCATTGTAGTGTTATTTATATGTTACTGTAAATCATATAATTGAGAAGAATGTACAAGTAAAGTTAAATAGAAATTAAAGATAATTCATATTAATATTAATACTTAAATGTAAAAGCATTAGGAAATAAGACCTACCACACTTAACAAGCATTTCCTTTCTATATTTTTGATAGAATTTTCAAGACTATTTATTGATATATATTTTGAACAGAATTTTAATTAATATATATTTTTAATAGAACTTTCAATTTCTATCAAATTATCTTTAATAGTTATTTTTAAATAGAATAATAAAATTTCTCAAGCAGAATAAAATATGAATTAAATTCACTTTAAATCGATAATAATAACTTCTGAATTTAACTTGCTTAAAATATATCTAAAATATACTAATTATATTTAATATGTTTTAAAAATTCGTAAAATCATAAATTTGGGAATATTTCTGAAATTAACAATTTTTAAACTACTTTAGCTATAATATTCGTTTATAGCTAAAGTAGTTTAAAAATTGTTAATATGCTATAATATGCGTTTTTTGTGCTTTTCTAGACTGCTCTGTGAAACTTTTATTGTTTGGCGTTATTAATACCATTTTAGTTCTGTCATTCAATTTTTTTTCTCTCATGCTTTTTAACATTTCAAATCGTGCAGCTAAATATTATGTTACACCATCGTGTTTCGTTTTTATTTGTGTATATAAAAGTAGATTTTTAAGTAATCCCTTTTCATTAACGAAATGATGTTTGTAAATTTCAGGTCTTTGTATTAAAGGTTTCAAAGTATCAGTTTTCAAAGGAAAACTGATACTTTGAAATGTATCACAATTTTAAATTCGATACTTTGTTTCGATACTTTTTAAATTTTAAATTCGATACTTTGTTCACAATTTTAAATTCGATACTTTTTTCTTTCCTGTTACGTCCTGCATATTAAATTTCATACGGTCATCTTGTTTCCGGTAAGGCTCTATAAATCATATTTATCTGCAAATTCCATTTTCAATTACCATTGCTCCGTTAACTGGTAACTTTGCTGTGCGTTACTTATTAATACAAGTGCTCTTTAACACAAGCAAATATTACATTTTTTTAATCGAATTTTTTTGAAAATGTTCGTTCCATGACTGAGTACTGCCTTTCATTGTCTTCTGTTTGCAAATTAGGACCTTCAGAGTGGAAATTAGCACCTTCAGTTTTCTCGGTAAATCTGTTTATTTCCTATTATGAATGTTATCACATCGTTTCCAGAATAAAGGTTTATTATCACGCCTTTTGCAGCCCACTTGTATGTTCTTTAAGTTTTGATACACTTCCATCTTTACAGAGATATACAATAATGAAATTTGCTTTACTACGTGCAAAGCGTTCTAATTAAAAACACCGAGATTTTCATGAAAGTGACTTTGTTTAAAGGCAAATATATAGCAAATGGCTCCAAAGAACCTTTGTGCGATAAACTGCCCCTCTTCCTGGCGATTTGTTCTGAGTAGATATAATAGACAACTATCGTTAAGCAAAACGACTAGCTTCAAGCTGAAATGAATTTTTTCTTTTACTTAGGAAAAGTATGTGTAAGTAAATGTAGGCATAACTGCGTAGCATATAACTAAAGTTATTTCACATTATTTTCAATTTAATCATTTTGGGATCTGATAGATTGTGTATAATGTCAAATGAGTAATTATTTCTTACAATGCTTAAAACTAGTGATTAGTGTTCCATTTTGCAAATTAAAAAAAACAAAATTTTCAATAAAAAGTTATTTAAACGTTTACTGCTTTGGAATGCCCAATTTTGTTTTATTATCGGAGTAGCAGAAACTCAGAAAATAGCTAAAAACATATTTTAGTACATTATGTAAGACAAGGTATTGAATTTTAAAATTAAACAAATTAAGCCATAATGTTTACAATATTTATTCAAAGACCACAGAGCAGCATAATTTCTTCCATGATATGCACTAGATAGCCAAAAGTCACGGGACATTTTGGATTTCAGATATTTTGTAAATAGATATAAAAAAATATTTGACGAATTGCTCTGTAAACCTGTAAGTAACATACGTTTTACTTGCGGCATACAGATTGTTTTTTTCTTATGGCATATACATTATTTTTACATTCAATCAAATTTAACGAAACTTACAGAAAAACATAGCAACTTTTAAAAGACTTATTAAAATATAATTTAAAATGCAAGTTATTTATGAGTTATACAAAAACATTCTTTGGATTAGAAATATTTTTCATTTTTAATTTATTAAAAAAAAATGTTGCGAGCTAGATATAAGCCAATACTCAAGTTTTCTATTCTATAAGACTCTGAAAAATTGTTCTATAAGACTGTGTAATTTTATATAAGATTCTTTGAAAAAGATCTCCTCTTTGATAAAATCTGTATTGATCAAAACTTTTCACGGCATTCTGCATATCAGGGCTAGTCACTTAATCAGTTAACATCAGTTAACATAAAAACCTCATTTAAACTGATATTTCATTTTTCATTACGTACAGATTTAGATGTTGCCCTTTTTTAGTTTGTGCTTGAATCCTGAATTTTCAAAAAATATGACCTCAAACTAAAACTAAGTATCTCTCTCAGTTTTGCATTATGGATGACAAACTGTTTGTGTTGACTTTTTTGAATGAGCATAAACTGTTGCTAAATATGTGAACAATAATACCGTATAAGATTTTAATCTCGTAATTTTTATAAAAGTACTTTTGTACCTGTAATTATGTATTTACAAAGAGCGTCGACAAATAACTAAACTAAAGGTCATATATAGAATTTTGTCGGCACTATTTTTATGTATTAAAATTAACTTAATAAATTAGCAAATATTATTAAGTGTTTTATACTTTTATAAATTTCTGAAACTTGTTGCCATTTTTTTTGCTCATTTCAATCCATTAAAACAAGTTTTGCTAGTAAACGACAAGGCTAAAAACTACTTTCTCTCGGCTGAAAATCAGTCCTACTTTTTACTGTCTTATTCCCACGATTCATTAATAATCCGCTATGTTAATAACAATCAGATCGTATTCGGATTCTCATTTTTATGAAATTTCAAATAACTAATTCATTATTTCACAATTTTCATATTGGGTAGTTTAGTAGTAGTAGATTTTGTATTAGGTTATGCATAATATATTACAAACTTATTCAATACCTGGATCAAATAAGCGCACAGTGGTACCTCAGCATATGTCTGCTTTGGAATAAGTCAAAACCTGATGTACATCTGGCTAGGATATTATTTGATATATGATATGTGTCCGGAATAAGACCCAAATTCGACGAGTTACTACTGTGAGCACTACCCTTATTTAGAACTTTCGAAACAATGACAACTGTCCATGAGCGCCAGTATGCCTGTTGTAACTATTCAGTAAACAACTCGTACTATAACTCCTAATTTTCTCGTGATTTTGTGTTTTTTCGTGTAAACTGTTTGTAAATTTGTTAACAACGTGTTTTAAGAAAATTAATGAAAAGGGTGAAGCAACGAAGAATGTGATTAGGATCACCATGGAGACATAAATATTGATTGTTGAAAAGTATGATACTGTTCATGTAATTAAATGTCAGTCTCCAAGAACACTTAGACAGTTTTCCCTTTATTTTACTGCATTTTTATTGCACTATATTTGTAAAAACTTCGACAGCAAAACCACACCAATAATTTTTATGACCTTTTTAATGTAAGTGAAAAACTGATGCATATTTTTGTTCAAGCTTCTGTTTAATATTTGTTTCGTAAATGTCACAGATGCAAATTAGAATTAAACAGCTATGTTTAAATTAAAACAGATATGGCAGCTATTCCTGATTTTGCTGCTGGAGCCATGGAAAACTGGGGGCTTGCAACATTCCGCATGATAAATATTTTATACGATCCTTCAGAAACATCATCCGAAGGTCAAGAAAGAGTGGCTTCCGTTATTGCTCATGAAGTGTCTCATCAGGTTTGATTTTTAACTTTTGTTTTGATAAAAGTATTTTTATAATACATATATAGATATAGGTATATATCGCAGCTTTCCTTGACAATAGCGCATATTTCTTGCAGACAACAACATTCATTAAATTGAAAATCATTTATCATATTGGATCTTCCAGCATATGCCTCATTCATCAACACACCTGATGCTTGTACTGCTGTCAGGCACATTAAAGTTTTACTTCTCAGTAATTGATTATCAAAAACTGTTCCTTTAAGCATAACTGAAAGATATTTTAAAGCTATATGATTGTTAAAGATTTGTTTAAGCACTTTATTTTTCATGTATAAAATAGGCACTTACTTGAGTAACTAGATAATTTGCTTTCACTCATCTGCACCAGTTTACTTTTCCTACCTTTTCTTTTTTTTCGGGGGGGACAGGTTAGAGAGGATATGTATTTATAGTATATGTGTGTGTAATATTTTCAAGTAATAAAACAGTTAATGAAAATGTAATTATCTTAAATTCCTCATTCGGAGAAAGTATAAAAACCACAAGAGAACGGCTAAAGAGTTTCAGGCATATTGTCTTGAGACACGGAAGAGTCACAGAGAAATCGTTTGCGATGAAAGCATGTTTTAATGTTTCCCCAAAGAAGGGTATTAAATTATGTGGCTTCCGAAATATTCACCACGTTTAATAAAATATGAGGTTACATTACTGCTGTGCATCCAAATTATCATTATACATAGGCACCTCCTAAATATGTTTTTGTGTTTGTCAATTAAATGTAATGGACTCAGCATTTTTTTCATCAACTAGACTAAGTTATAATAGTCAGAAATTTGTGAGATAAGTGTGCATTTGAACTTGTCTTTCAGTATTATCGATTAAAATGACCATGTGCACTAAAAGAATAGAATGAAATTAAGTTTTTTTAATTAAGTGTATCAAATAAATTGGCTGCTTAATAGCACACTGAGTAATAATTTTTTATATTTGTTTATTTAGTATATTATTCTCTTTTTATTAAATTAATTTTGATTTAGTTTTTGATGTAATAGTTTAATTTAATGAAACTTTTATAAATTAAGTGAATTTATTTATTGTTAGTTTATTTATTCTGAAAAGTTGGAACTAGAAGTGAAAAAAGTATCGAAGCCAAGCTAAAGATCGTGAATTCTGAATCATTTTTACTTTCTACGTTTTTTCTTGTTTAAACGTTCTTGGTTTAAGGAAAACTGCTGTAAAATCTTAGTTGAAAACTTTAAAATGTACCTTTGACTAATGTCTTTAAAATATTTAAGATCTTTCAGTTTCTTCCCTTTGCCTTCTTCTGCTGATGTTTTTAAGTTTAAAAAATGTTATAATCTCTATTACGCTTAATTTTAAAATTATTTTGTAGACTTTCATGCGAAACTATATTCGTAATAATGAAACCGAATAACAGTTAATAACAGTGAATAATCACATGGATTTAAACGAGTAAAAAGTCTAAGAATAAAAGGTGCCTAGTGTTTTCACAAACTGGCTGCAGTAATTAAATTGATTCCCATTCCGGCTGTTTTTAAAATTATATTTCATAAAAAAGCATTTAGAATACGTTAAAAAAATGGTGCTTTTTTCAGTGGTTTGGAAATCTTGTGACTATGAAATGGTGGAGTGATTTATGGCTGAATGAAGGTTTTGCAAGTTTTATGGAATCTCTTATTGTAGACATTATTAAACCAGATTGGAAAAAGGTATATATGTATTTTTTATGTTTTTGAAATGTAACTGACTCCTTTAATTTGAACAAAGTGACTTAAGAAACAGATTATCATACATCATTCACGCTATTCATAAAAAGATGTTTGTTTCAAGAACTGCTATATGCGAGAAATATAAATTTTATTAGAAGTGTCATCGGAGATTAAGAAAAGATTATGTTACTAGTAATATTAAATAGTGTTTTCTGACTTACAACTCAAAATTACATATATTTGTCACATAATTTTTTATTTATAATCATTATATACCTCTTAAAGTAGAATCTCAATAAACGAAATTGAGAGAAGCAACAAATATGCTCTAATAATCGGAGATTTTAGTTAGCGAGAGCGAATCCCCCCCCTCAAAAAATATCTTGTATATGTATTGGATAGGCTGGAAGGTAACGTCATATTAAAATGACAGATAAAAGACTGCCAGTAATCAAAAACATTTTTTACCTTAACCAACTACATAATCGCTATTATTATTAACAATTATTCTCCAACTTTGAACCTAATGTTCAATATCCTTTTAATGAGAAAAAGACGTAAAACTGTTTTGACCTGATAAATATTTCAAAATAATGCATCCCGCAAAAAATGCTCTAGCGAATTAATTTCGAACTGATCAGATTACTCTTAAAGGCAATGTCTGGTGAATATGAGAGATGGGACAAAATTAAATTCCTCCAAGTTTAAGTCTCTCATTTATATCACTTATCCCACATGTGGTTATATTCTGTCATGGTGAAAAATCTCTCTTATTAATTAGAACCAGGATTGCTTATTGTACGAGATATGAAAAGCTTAACTTATAAGGTATACTCCCACTTCCCTAGCGTGCCTTCGTGGTGTAACGGTAGCACGCTGGGCCGGTATTCCAGAGGTCCGTGGTTCGATTTCCAGCTTGAGATATGCAAAGATATGAAGTAACTGAATGCATCAGGACATTATTCAGCTTCACTAATCTTCCAGAAAGACGGGCATTCGTGAAATCGAAATTTCCTACTGGAATTTGAAAAATACGCTTGGACTAGCGATCATTTTATTTACGATTTGAATATGTATTCAAATATTTCTAGTGGTCGTTATTATGTAGTTAACTTACGAAATTCCTAAAGCATGCTATGATGAAAGTGGCATTCTTGTTAAAGAACATCAGCAAAGGGAAATAGATGTGAAATTTTGCAGCAGAAGACCTCATTCCTCTGTTGTACGTATGATTATTTCAATTTGCCAAAGTACAACTACTTAGTAAAACAATCTCGAAATTATATCACATTCAAACGAGACTACTTCATGGTTCAATTCAGTATGTATAATGTTGATTTCAGTCACCCGTGGTTTACGATGGCCTACAGAATGGAATAAAAGTAGAGAAACAAATGGTTTGTACGCTTTAAAAAACTTGGTACAAAACAACAGTTTAAACTGTAGAGTTTTATGTTTATTAATCAGCTATCCGAATATTTTGCCTTTATTTTCGCACCCACGATTAATCAATGTATTTAAGCTCAGAGTTCTTGATTGCGACAGAAAACGCTTACAACTAGTGCAGACCGTTTCACAATTGTTTTCCCTCATATTCTGAATTATTTGAATCGGCTTTAACTTTGCTAACTGTAAATGCCAGGACGAATTTGAGGTCCCGAGTCAAAGCTTACAGATGAGCGTTACTTTATAATTTAATATTTGAATTTTACTTTAATATTTCTTCTGTTTTTCTGCAAGCTTTTTTCTGTTAGTACACAGGTTGTGTTGTCGTCAAGCTTAAAAATTAAATAAAAAGATTTGATATAAACCTTTTTTCGAGTTGAAGTTAATTTATTTCGAAGTTTGAGATTAAACGATAAGTCATCTGATTGTCTTCACGTGTCCAGGATTTAATATTCAAAGTAGTCTGCATCCGTGCAAATGCACAGTACAGTTTTTTCTGCATAGAAAGCCTCTGAATTATGTCTGATATTTCTCCTCTAACGAGTATGTTTGTTAGCGCTACCTTCTCGAATTGATATTTTATAAACAACTAAAAATTTGCCTCCGTTCAGGACCATAGTGTGGTGGGAAAAATGAGAAAATATTTAAACTAAAGTAGATCTGAAAGCAAAATTTAATGCCACAGAAGGCTTATCAAAACTGGGGTTAACATGATATTGCCATCCCTCATTTGCTTTATTATAATGAATAATTCAATTTAATCCAATCTCTATCAGTCTATTATATGAAATCCGACTAAACCGCGTCATGTATGTTATTATGAATATAAATGTAATTTTCAGTTGTTTTCCACCTGTTTTTCTTCTTTGTAGATGGATGCATTTGTTGCCACAACTGTTCAAGACGCTCTCTCTATGGATGGTCTACAGACTTCTCACCCAATAGTAACTAATGCTATTGATCCCCTTGAAATCGATGCAACATTTGATGTCATATCTTATAAAAAGGTGTGTAATTATCAAGTTTATATTCTAAAATGTATAGATTTTTATAACACTTTCTTTTAAAATATATAACAGATATAACGCATAAACAAGATTATGAAAAATGAAGTGTTTGTTTATTTATTACTTTCTTATACGAAGTAAAGGAAGAATCGTAATCGCGAAGATTTTCGGGAATCATATTTCAACGAAAATATCCATTTTGACCGCTCTCGAATCCATTTGAACAATGCTTAGGGATGGTAGCTGTACGTACTGACAGAATAAATTACTCTTTTTTCCAAAATGGTTAAAACAGATTAAAAATGGATTCAGAATAGATATTTTTGTGACGTTTGTACGCACATATACATGTATGTATCTCAAATTAACTCAAAAGCGAGTAGTAGTAGAACGTTGAAATTTTGTATATCAGACTGCTATAACATTTAATTATGCATTTCCACTTTTTGTTGCTATTAGCCGCCCAAAACGTCTAGTAATATATATTCTTACATGTTGGTCATTGTGCAATTTTTGCTTTAAAATTTATTGAACTATGCTGTTCTTAAGTTCCGGTTAAGATTTTATGCCTTTAGTTAATCTGCATGCAGTAGTTTTAGATTTATCAACAGTTTTAAGTTTTTTAGGTGCTAGGCCTAACAAGGCCGCCATTTGTTTAAATTTGAAACTTTTAGTAGAGAAGTGAATGAAGTCAGCTGGTGCATCAACTTCAGTGTCTTTTTGCCCTGTGGGACCAGAAGTTAACATTCAATTTTGAGCACAGAAAATTTTGTCTAACTGCACGCTGGCCGAATGGCTTGTTTTGGCATATAAACTCTTAATTTTAATTGTAAAAATTTTTTTTATGTACTGTTTTTATTTGTATTTGATGCTTGAAGGTTTTCTGTATTCTACAATTTTTAATGATGGTTTAAGTTTTCATGTATAGCAAAGTCAGAACTTAATTAATTGAATGAGAAATATATCTCTAATGAAATTTGGAGGAAATAAGTTTAAATGAAATGCAGCAAAAAATTGTGTATAATTTTTATGGGCCTTACAAAGAAGTCATGTGGTGCCCGCATCAGGTATTACTTTCATTAAAGAGAAGGTATATACAGAAGTAGTATACAGTAACAACTGTAAGTGAGAGATTTTGAAATAAATGTGGATTAGGACAACTGAATTTTATTTCACATTTTAGACATGTATGTGAATCAAAGAATGAATGTTTTTAATTCCCTTATGTTACTTTAGTTCCTTTTTGGCAAAATAAAACATCCTGTTAGAGTCAGGTACATTTAAAATGTCAAAATATCCCAAATATATAAAACATTTTATGGAAGGTCAGTATCTTTATAAATAGCAGGTTGTACGTATGTAAAATTTTATATTCATATTCCTTTTGTATACTACCTTTCTTTTTATAATAATAAATCGTCATCGGTAAAAAAACTGAATTTTTGAGAGCATTATTATGAATTCACAAATCCCTGCTTTTAACATACATGTTTTTCTAAACTAGAAGTATAATATATAATTAAAATGCCATATTTTTAAAATAATGGAATTCTATTATATTTTTTACTATCATTTATTTTTGACGGCCCCAAAACGGATACTTTTTAACATAAAATTAGAGGTTGTTCTAAAATATTTATGCAAGAAGCTTAGAAGTTAATCATTTTATTCTCACGTAGAATTAGTATAAAATGGCTAACTAATGACTAGCTTAAACCTATTACAAAATTTCTTTAAATTCTAAACAATGGTTTCAAAGAAATCACATACGCAAGCTGGTAAATTACAGTTTTGAGAAATCTTAATATAAAGATATAATTACCTCCAAATGCTGTAAAAACACGTTATGTTTTTAATAATATTAATGAATAAATATATCTATAACTATAAGTTTGTAATTATAAATAATTATACGTTGAAACAGTATTTCATACATAATCATCATAAGTTTAACTGAGATAGTGAAAAGTAGCAAATTTAAATTTTTGAATGATTCCAAATTTAAATATAGCTCTGAATTTTCTTATGTCAGAAGATACACTGGCTTCCTAATTTATATAGTTATCGTGTTTACACAATTAATTAAAATTTCTTGAAATTCTAATCCGCCAGTTCAGAGAAATCATGTACGAAAGCGGAAAATCTCATTTTTATTAAATCTTAATTGAAAAATGAAATTGCCTTGGAATTTTGTAAGCATATTACTTTCTTAAAATTAGTAAATGTACAAACAGATAAATAAATAAGTTAACTTTTCTATCGTGCGTAACTATGTATCTTTATAATGTTGATTACAGAAGCATTTTATACATAGTTCAGGGGATGTAACAGAAAAATTTTTTCTGAAATGCAATTGTAAACAAATAATTTCGCTCTTTAAAAGACATAACAGAACTATTTTTTCCATGACCGATATTCGCTATAGAATGAGTATTTGCACAGAGTTTGTTTTAAAATATTTTTAAGAAATCTTTTTTTACAAAAGCATAAAAACTTTGTCAATTTTTGGTCGATATAAAGGTGCCAAACCTCTTAAGACTCCTTTTCATTTGAACGACAAATAAATTACCTTTGCACTTATGCTCAAACTTAATTTAACTTAATGCCTTAAATTAAAACTTTACATAAATTAGTTATGACTTTTTATAAAATTTTAGTTTCTTTCTCAAGGTCTTCAAAAAACATTTATAATGCAGTTAGGTTCCAAATTCCCTAATGCTTATTTATCATGCTCCATTTATTACAAAGCATAACAGTTTATATATTTAGCAATGAACTGTTATGTAAATTTTAATTTCATAATATATATAATTTTAATAGACATGTATATCATTTCAGCATACAGTCAATAACTTTATCAACATGCCAAAAAATAAACCTATACATGTTGAATACTTTAAAATACTTACTTATATATATATGTCAGTTGGAAATGCTTTTTTTTTACACCATCCTCTTGACTCAAAAATCTGATCTTTCTTGAAACTATTTCTTGAAACATCTACTTTAATTTATTTTGTAATATATATGCCCTCCAAAAGTTAAAAACACAGCATGTTTTTTTCTGTCTAATTTGATAATGAAGCAACATGAAAACAAGAAATTTAGAGAACATGTTTACTAAATAGTTTTTTAATGAATGCGGCATAGAGTGTGTCTAAAGCTCGACACAAACAGGAATTACAGCAAAAAAATTGCTCTCTTGGCAGAGAAATCTAATCTACGAGAAACAGTACATCAAATACACGTTTTGAGGAAAAATGTAGCGGTAACATTACAAAAATTGGTTCTAATAAGGAATGTGTCCATTCTAGCTGCAATACATTGGTGGCAGCGACGTTGGTGGCATGCTATCAATTAAGTCAGTGAAATAGGAAGCAACAACTGAGTAATCCTTGTTCAGGCTCACCTAACGACCTTGGAGGAGGACTTAGAGCAACAAACTGTTTCCCAAAGATTCTTTTTCGGATTAAGATCTGAGGATTGAGCTGACCATTCCATCCGCTCCATACCGTGACTCTCAAGATATTCTTCAGCAACCCGAACTCGGTGCGGTCGCGTATTGTAGTCCATCAGAAAAAATCCAGGACCAATAGCAGCAGTATGTGGGCCAACATATTGATCAAGGATATCGTCTCGATATCTCACACTGTTCAAAGTTTCTCCATGGAAAACATGCAGGTCAGTCTGACCACCGAGAAAGAGTCCAGCCCAAACCATTATTCCACCATTTCTGTAACTGTGTCTTTCCACAATGTGGGGTTGTTTGTATCTGGTACGTTGTTCCCTGCAGATCAGCTGACGACCTGAACCCCTCTCCATTGTAAACCTGCACTCTCTAATATTCACAGACAGGCTTACCTTTTTTTTTTTTTTTTTTTTTTTAGTAGTTTATTTACTTTGTTTCAGGTAAACCATTTGATTTTTCAACACATATTTGCTTTATTTATTAAGGTTCGATTAGGTAATTTCGTTTTTTTCATTCTTATAAAATTGTATAGATCGTAATAATCGTTCAATGACTATATGCATGTGTAACTTATTTAAATAGAAAAACTACTTTTTTCTTGGTCTACTCAAAGAAATTTGCTCAATCATTTATCAAGAATGTTAAAGAACATAAAGAAACGAGCTTACTATTAAACAAATTGGCACGTAAGTGATACTAGGTTGACCTACTGAAGAATTTAATTAGAATATTCACACGGTTCCAGTTATAAATAATATTTTTTTCTTTAATACTTGTATGTTATATTTGAATAACGAAGCTTTAATTAGTTTCCTACTTTTCTTTTTGTTGACTGCTGGAATTATAAGTAAGAATAATTCTTCTTATATGTAGGGTGCTTCTTTACTAAGCATGTTAGCAAATTTCCTTGGCATGGATACCCTAAAAAATGGACTGTCAAATTATTTGAATAAATATCGTTTCCAAAATGCTCGTACTGAAGATCTGTGGAATGCATTTAGTGAGGTAAGCTTTTTGTTTTGAACTGGAATATTTCATGTGTAAACTTTACTACAAGTTTTTCCTGTTACGGTTAGCAATTATGTAGATGAAGATATTTTTTAATTAAATGTTGTAATAGTTTTTCCATTCTCTAATTTTTATATAAATATTGAATTATTTTTATTTTTGCAGAGCATTTTCTATTATTTGCTCTTTGTGACTTGTTCTTTTTGTAATGATTGAAAAGTCAAATTTTTAAAGTATGAAAGATTAAAATAATATACAGTATACTATATATATATATATATATATATATATATATAATTTAATACGTGTATTAACAAAATCAGAGAATTTTCTAGCATATTCTGATCGGCAAATTGGTAAACAAATTCATCCGCAAATTGTAAAAAGATAATAAAACAAGGGGAAAAAAATTTCTTTAAATTAAAAACAAATTTCTATGGAAATTTAAAACTAGAATTTAAAACAAAAACAAAAGAGTGATTTTTAATATACGTGCAAAAACTAAATTCAAACAAATCAAATGGAACATTCAAAAGGAAAATTTTCTCGGAACATCATCTTCGGGGGATTTGGTATCTTCGACAAATGCAAACGAAAATTAGCCTGTTTCTGAGATAATATATGCACAACTAAGAAATTCATTCTGCAGTTAATTTTAGGAAAAAAATTAAGTTAATATTAATTAAAATTGTGCAACTTTCAACCCAACTCCGACAGGCCATAGTTTTAACGGCATTAAATGAAGAGTAAGTTATAAAATGGAAGTAAAGTTATAATTAGAAGAAAAATTAGCCTATGAAGAACAATTTTTAATGTGGTGGAATGTTTGAAGTCTAAAACTTTTAAAAGGGAAAATGCAATGAAATGGAGCTTCATGAAAATCAAAATTTCTATCTGATAATGTAAATAAATACTAAAATACTTTTTAATGAGGCATAAATCTTATAAATTAACAAGTTAAAATTTTTTTATAGATTTAATAATTATTAACTGGTTATTAAATAGCATCAGAATAACGGAAAAATAATTGAAACCTAATATGTTTATCCTGTGTGCTTATACTGTTAATAACATTTATGTATATAACAATTATGATTTTATATTAATGTTAAAGTATTTGATTTTAGAGAAAATAAAACTAAAGAAAGGTTTAGAACCAAATTTAATAAATAAATTCTTCTTTTATTAAATAAATATTTATTAAAAAAATTGGTTTTTTAAAGTAACTTTAAAGTAACGTATTTAATATTCTAGCCAATTATTTCATAAGCAAGCTGTTCAGACAATATTTATATACACATCAAACACACGAATATAATGTTACCATAAAAAACATTCTTAAGCTATATTTATCCATGAAATTTAAAGATGAAATTCTTATAAATTTCAAATTACAGTTTTTCTAGTGTTGTAGTCGACAAATCTTTCTGTTAATTTTTTTAATTTACTAAGTAATTAATTTAATAAAAATGTATTTACTGCTTTGTAGCAATTCTTAAAATTATAATATACCTATGCGTGTTATGAAATTTTAAGAAGTGTAAAAAATATCGAACTTAATCAAAGTTTAAAAGGATTTAATAATAAATATTATTCTTATCTTTTGAATTTTTGACTTTAAATTTCAGGCTGAATCATCACATATAAATGTGACGCAAGTTATGGATACATGGACACGGCAAAAAGGTTATCCTCTAATTACAGTTACTCTTGAGCACCCTACAGTGAAAGTCAAACAAGAAAGATTTCTTATGACAGCTAAATCTAAGGATGTCCAAGCTTCAGATGACGTGTCCCCATACGGTTACAAGTGGCGTGTTCCAGTTACATACGTCACTGATCTCACAAATACGCAAAACACTTATTGGTTAAATGAGCCTGAGGGTATGAAATATTTTTAACAAATATTCTTTAAAATTTATCAATAGTTATAATTGATAGTGATTTTCATTGTTATTGATCATTATATATTTTATTTTTAAAAAGGTAAAATTTGTGTACTCGTTCCAGTTTATTTGTGTTTAAATATTTACTTACGTAGTTGATAATTTATTTTACTTCATAATTTCAAATTATGTGAAAGCGTTGAATTTTATAAATTTTAAGTTCTAAAATTAAATAAATTTCTTTAGGCGAATTTGTTTTACCTGCTGAAACAAAATGGTTGAAAGTAAATGCAAAACAAGGTGGTTTTTATAGAGTTATGTATGATCATGGCTTATGGAAAACTCTGACTGAATTACTCCAGTCTAACCATAAGGTAAAATATTGTTTATGCACTTCTTCTACTGTGTAAAATGTATATGTATGCATATATATTAAACACGTTTATTTATATATAAAGAGATAGGTTGATAAATATGGTCATTCACTAAGCGTAACATCCTTATTTGTAAATATCATAAACCAGAAGTTGAAATGTTTATGTAATATGTAATAAAATATGTCAAAAAATATGATTATAAAAGCAAGAGTAAAAAAATTATAAATGCGAGAATTGAGCAATGAAAATGCTACACCAAGGAAGAGTGGCCAAAAAGTGATGAAACATTTGACAAACATAGAGAGACACGTCTAGGTAGAGAATCAATGAGACTACGGATGTCCTTATTACCTGTCAACCATTTCCCACAGTTCGTCTTCTAAACAGGCAATGGCAGGATTTGCAAATGGCGTCCAATCACATCCCAAATGTGTTCGATTGGGGAGAGATCAGTAGAGAACTGTGGCTAAGGAAGCATCTGTACACCTTTCAGAGCACACTGGTTGATGCGAGTAGTGTGTGGTAGGGCGTTATCCAGCTGATAAAGGGCATTGGGCACTCCCTGAAGGTGGAAGAGTGTCCCCGGCCGCAGCACATCATCCACGTACCGTTGGGGCGTAATAGTGCCCTGAATATGAACTACAGGTGACCCGGAGCAATTGCGTTCCAAACCATGATGCCGCGCCGCGCACGGTGGGGCGTTTTACAATTGCTGCAGGATTGGACCTGTCTTTAGATCGACGCCACACTCGTACGTGGACACACGTACCATCATTGGAGAAACAGAAGCGTAACTGAGAGCACGACCCTGTACCATTCCGTTATCTACATCGCTCAAGCCTAGCACCACTGCAGACGTTGGTGTCTATGATGTAGAATCAATGGCAGTTTTCTTAACGAACGCCATGAGTGAAGACCATTAGCCACCAATCAACAGCAAATGGTTCTGGTCGATATGGGAACATTCAGGGTGTCTTGAACATGCTGCAGAATGGAGGTAGAAGTGGCTTACGGGTGCGCCACCACTTGCCTGCGGATGCGTCGATTCACGTGTTCTTACGTCACTCTGGCTGCACCGGTACCCCTCGAACTTGCCACATTTTCTTGTTCCAACCATCATTGCCTCAGATGGTGCACTGCGGACGCGTCCAGGTGTGTATCAGCTGAGATTTGGTGTATGGACCAACCTTTCCTTCTCAGTCCGATTAAAATCGTCTGTCTGCTGGAACTGCCTCCGTGGACGACGGCCTGACATTCTCTGCTACTACACGCGTCCTCTGAGACAAAAAAAAAAAAATTATGATGATTTCCCTAGCAGAAATAACGGTACTAAAATTGAACATTCTGCAGGTTCCTTCTACTTCAACATGCACTGGAGAGCTCCTCATTTCACATCATTCGCATATAACTTGGAGATGTGCGTCTACCATGAAATTTGCATAATTTTAGGACCACTCTTTCTTGGTGTTGCTTTTAAGTGTCGGGTAGTGAATAGCATTTAAGTAAGAAATGTCTGGAGATGTAATAGGGACTACTTATTGAATAAATACCACACTGTTTCCACTGACTCACGAAGTTACTTTCAGTGTTCCTGGCGTATTTCTAAACATGTACAACAATATAGAGATGAGCGATAGGCAAATTGTTGGGCATCTGGCAGGCAGACAAATTCCTTTGAGTCTTCTGTAAACAGTTTATCTGGGCAAACATGTTTTCACGACAACTGACAGATCTCCGAAGAACTGCCACATTTACATCGTGATGAAGCGTCCTGTAATTACCGACTACCAATTCAAAGAGCGGTCCTGCCAAGACTAGAAAAGATTAGTATTTTTAAAATTTTATACTGGCTAACACCTGGTGATTCCAAACATTTCAGAATCTTTTGAACTGCGATATTAAACAATGTGGCTTATTTGATTCTTAGATAACATTATTATTTTAACTATATCAAATAATTTTAAAAAGCAGCTTTAGAAACATTTGCTTCAGTAATGAGTAATGTTATTATTTAAATTCTATTAAAAAACTTTAAAAAGCAATTTTAGAAACTTTATCGGCAAAAAAATGTTTACGAACAATTTTTTCCTGTTCATGAAGGACTTATGAAAGACAGCCCTCGAAGTCGATAGAGTTTTTTAGAAGTCTACTCCAATCAAGGTTTTTTGAGGGGAGGAGGATCAGGAGCCTAGTTTTAAGTTTTGCGTCAGTGCCCCTTTTTTTTAAATGTTAAAAAACTTTGCTTACGTCTTCTCTTTGATAACTCTATCCATTATATTCAGCTCTGTATCTTTGTGCCATAATCGGTACCAACACTACTTTTCAACAGGAGTACAAGGAAATGGAACAAGATATATACTTTTCTCCTCCCCCTCTGGCTAGTTTAACAGTTAAACATAAGTTGCTATATTGATATCCTGTTTGTTCTTAAACTGCTAACTGATAAACTCGTATGTGCATATGAATAGGTTAGTATATAATGTAGATACAGATTTTTCTATTCTGTTTGAGTTAATACTCAGTTTTTATGTTTTATAACTTATGCTTTAATTGTGGACTTTTGGATATATATGTATGCATTATTCTTTTATTTTATTTAGAACTCTTGCAAAGATGTTACATTTAACTATTCATTTGCTTCATGTTTTTAGACGCTTACTGCGGCGGATCGATCTAATCTTGTAGATGATGCTTTGTCACTTTCAAGGTAATTTTAGACAGCTTCAAAACTTTTTTATGTCCTGTAGACTAAACTTTTTTATGTCCTAGGCTAGTATTTTACGTAACAGTTGATGCAACTTATGCAGACCTTAAAATTCAAATTTTAAACATAAATGTCGATTTTTTTGAAAATATAAGATGCATTATACACTGTTATTAGCTGTGATGTTTTGTTGCTATGTTAATCTTCTTAGTTTTTAACAATAAATGAAAAGAAACCTTTTTTAATTTAATTCTTGTGTACATTTCACATAGCGACAGGTTTCAATTTGTTGTCAAATTTTGTTAATTAATAGCTGTCAATGATTTTGAAGACCTAGTATCATGTATAGACCTAGTACCATGATCTAGCAATAATCTCATTCTACTCTTTTTTCTTAACTTTTATTACACAATTTTGTATTGTTATCTTAGCATAAACAGAATGGCAATTCCTTCCCTTTCGCATACTAATTAGATTATTTAGGTAGCATTATTTCAAATATTTCTTACAATTTTTAATCAATTCTTTGAAGGTAAATGCACTTAAATATCATTCAACATTTGGTCAAAGCATCTGATTTTTCTATGTATTTATAAAATACAATTTGTCTCGTATTTCAGATTCTTATTTAATCTTATTTGATTCTTATTATGTAATTGTAATGGAATCAAAATACTTAACTGCGCTAAATCCAAAAAATAGAGAATATTCTTAAATAGTCAGTGAGGTACTTCTTGGGTAACAAACGTCTTTCGACTTCTTTGATTTCATCCAATCTTATTTTCTCTGCTTTCGATTATAGAGAAAAAATGGAATATATAATATCTATGTTGTATATATTACACAACCTTTCAGAGGTTAAACTCGTGAATAATAAATTTGAAATATACAATATGTTATGCTTTGATTGATAGCAAATTTCTCAAGAATATGATAAAGTGAATTATTTATTTATGAGCATAATAATAAAATAAAAGTTTTAACTTTTTATGTGCCTTTTTCGCACTTAATATGTTCAGAAAAAACAATTGTATTTTGCGTGATGTTTCGTCATTTAGCTTTAATTTTTGTGACTCAAACATACTTAAATATATTCTTTAGAGCAGGAATTTTGGATGCGATGCTTGCCTTTAATGTGACTCGCTATTTGGAAAAGGAGGAAGAATTTGCTCCATGGGTGGCAGCTATTTTGCATTTTGAACAATTAAATTCACTTATGCAAGATAATCCAGCTGTTCTATCACTATTCCAGGTATATAAATCTTATCTTAATATCCCCTACTCCACCACTTTTTTTGGGAGGAAGGGAAAGATTTTACATGTTTGTGTAACATTTTTTATTTATTGCGAAAAGGATTAACAAGGATATATGCAATAAGCTATAACCAAAATAATATTGAGATAGAAACTATTTTCACATCTGTATATGGCAAGCCGCAAAATCGCGCTTCTTGTACGAATTAGTACATTAGTAGAAGTACATAAAAACAATGCAGCAGTATTATTCTGTGTAATATTTTCATTTATTATTCATAAAATTTCCAATGAAGGCACGAGCTGGCGCAAGATACGCCTCGTTCTTGACATTTTTAGTTACATTGGTATCTTTATCAGGACTACTATTTCTTCTAACTTCTTTTGCGAACATACTGGAGTCCTGAGTAAGTTTACTTTAAACCATTTTCGGGTAAGTGTAGAAGATACGACACACACGTGAGAAGGGTTTAATTATCCTTTATTCTTCAGTTTACAGACGTTCCCGCGCTTTCGTATACAAAGACCAGTACTTATGGTCTGAAACGCTAAAATAAGGATTAAAACTAATTAAATTAAATAAGAGATAAACTCAAATATTTTTAAAAGACTAGTAACGTGAAGAATCGCCTTTTAATCTTTACGTAAGAAGTACGCAGAATGCGGGAAAACTACAATACGCCTTCAGTTATCGAGAGAACTAAATTCTGGCCTTAAAGGCGGACAGCAACTGACTGAAAAGCGCGCGTGAGGTAAAGTAGCAAGAAGTCTCTCTCTAACTACTTCTTGGCTAAAAGCCACAACTTAAATACTTAAGAGTTTGCAAGCTGAATTTGCATAGCTAAAACTAACCGCGTTTATTCTGGCCGGAAGTAGAAAATAAGAGAGGACAGTAAAGTTTTAAAATTAAATTAAACGTTAATAAAACTTAAAATCCTTGCACCTTTTACATTTATATATAAGTATAATTTTAGTGCTGATACTTTGAATAGAAAGAGTTCCACCCTGAGAGAGATTTTTAGAAATGTGATCATCCATAAAATATTTTATGGAGTCGGAACTTGAGGCGGTACTTAGTATTAGGAACAGAGGACGTACTTAGGATTAGAATGAAATTGGACACCCTGCAGAGGGGCTGGATGCTTGCCATTACAAGAGCCTTCAGCACCTTTTCAACTGAAGTTGCCTGCGTCCTTGCGGGTGTTCCGCCCCTCTCGATTCTATACAAATTATACTACAAAAAGTTTCTATTAGCTAATAAAATTATTATAGATACTGAAATTGGACAAAAAGTACTCACAAGTTAAGACCTTTCAACAAGAGAATGAGGATATTATTCACCCAGAGACACGATTTGGATCTTGAGTTTCCTTCTGGTGGCGAAATAGACGTTTTTACAGATGGTTCCGGAATTGATGGGGGAATGAGTAGCGTTGTGGTAATTTAATTTCATGGAGTGGAAATAGACAATGTGAGAATAAAACTTAAACCAATGAATCCAGTTTATTAAGCAGCACTATACGCATTGACAGAGGCTTTGAATTTCATTAATAAAAAATTAATAGTTCGATGTTTTATAAATATTTATATTGATGCCCTATCTGCGCTTCAGGCACTCACCCAACCAGATCATAAAAATCGACTAATTAATGAAATAAAAGACTTGTTTAGAAAGGCTGAAAGAAAACATATCGTTCAATTACATTGGGTGAAAGCACACAGTGGAATTGTCGGAAATCTAAGAGCGGACACCTTTGCCAAAAATGGCGGCACTTGGGGATGGGACCAATAATTTTGATATCCAAGATTCAAGAAAAAAAGACCAAGGCTGAAATGGAAAACTGGATTTATACAGAATGGAATTTTTGCTGGGAGTCGTCTAATAAGAAAAAAGAGTTAATGAAAAATATAAAGTTAAACAAGAAGAGGAACATTATAAATAATGTTGATATAAATCAGGTACTGACTAATCATGGACGTTTCCCGGCTTATTTTAATCGGTTTCGTCTGCAGAATAATGATAAATGCTTAATTTGTAATAAGTTTGGGGACGCCAGGCACTTCGTCGATGAATGTAAGCTTACCAGGAGTGCAAGAGAGAAATATAGAAAGAATTTTAAGGAAGATTTTAAAGGGAACTATTCAAATTTGAAAGATTTTGCAGAGACAATAATGAAGATTATAAATACGAAAAGAGATAGAGTTGGAATTCGGCACAGAGACTTAGATTTTGGACGTTATATGTTTTTTTCCTTATATTTGTTTTTTTCTGGCCAGTTCCATTTTTTGATCATACGGCCGGCCAGCTTGTGCCGGCTAGGAGGATTGGGGCTGTGCTCTTTAAATAATAATATTATATGTATACGGAAAAAGCAATTCAATTTTGCTTTTCGGTTCTATTCTCCATTCTTCCGTTTGCAGATTACAATTTTATGGTTGGTTGAAGCGTTATGTAGTTATATGCGCTATTAGTCTTATGCTAGAAACATTTGAAGTGTATTAATTTTAAAATGATGCAGTTTAGAGAGATTTTTTTCTAAGCAATTAACAATTTTAAGACAAAAAGGTTTAAAGAACCAAATTAAGCACAAGTGTTAAGCGATTATTGCAAATTTATATATGTTTTACCTTGCCTATCTTTTATCTTACGCACGCAAATAGAGAGAGACTTTTGCATTCCTTTAATTCTACAAAATTTTTAAAATATTGATTTATATGACATTTTAAGGAATAATTTAATCAATTATTATGTGTAAAGTCTAAAAGCTAAGTGTAATTAAGAATGAAATGTCAGATTTAGTTAATAAGTATATAAACTTTTGTTAAATAATCATATTTCTTCATTTTATAGTAGAGAAATAGGCAGACTGAGAGTTTCGTTTGAAAATCAACTTATTACAGTCATCTTTCTTAGCAAATATTCTTATTTTTATATTGCAAATAGTATGATTTTAATTTTTCATCCGACTTGTAAAGCTCTTACTTCCTTAATCAATGTAATGTGAACTCAGATTTTTCGACGAAAAAAAAAATATTTTATTTAATAATGCGTATTTTCTTTTTAATGGTTTCAGAATGGACAAGGAACACATGGCATATTTCGATTTATTATAAAATGAACAAATATAGACCACTTTAAATTTCTATAAAATAAATTAATTTTTACTCCAAAGGAGCTTTGCCCCTGAAGGACTATTGTTTTCGTTTTGCGATTTTGCGTCGAATCACTATACACGGCGTATCACTTTGCAAATTGTTGCCACCAAATGTTAGGGTCCTGCATTATATTTGAAGAAATTAAATAGTGAAGAAGATGCTTTAATCTATGTAAATTTCTCGCATTGTGATAAATCAACGGTACCTAGAGCCATCCAATTTTGATGACGTAATCCAACTGCGAATATGGGCTGAAAGCCCAAATTTGAAATTTGGAATTTGTTTTTTATCGATTTCATATTTTGTAAAACTTTAAAGAATTTTTGATTAATAAACTCAACGATTTAAAAGCGAGCAATGGCAACACTCTACAGGAGGATAACCCTTTTTACAGCTGTATCTCCAGCGCGCTTAGCTGTGTATCCGAAATTCTAAAGATATGCTCATTTTAAAATTACTATTATTATATTTAAAATTAATACTTTTATTAAACTGAATTTTTGTGTTCAAGTGAAGAAAAATTTTATTTAATAAATAAAGGTAACACACAAGGCGTTAAAAAAAATCTAAAAGGTTTCAGGTTTTAAATTACGTCCAAAGGGGTGTTTTTTTTAACGTTTTGTGTGTTACCTTTATTTATTAAATATAACGTTCTTTGCACTTAAACCATAAAATTCAATTCAATAGCAAAGTCGCAAAATAATTTTAAAATGAGCCTATCTTTAGGATTTCCAATACACTGTTCCACGCGCTGGAGATAAAAAGGTTTTTTCCCCTCGTAGAGCGTTGCTATTGCTCGCTTTTAAATCGTTGAGATTGTTACTCAAAAGTTAAAGTTTACAAAATATGAAAACGTTTTACAAAATATGAAATCTCCATTGATGACGTAATCCTTGATGAAATGAAAAATGTCAAGGATGAAAAATGTATTGATGACGAAATAGAAGATAAAACAAATTCCAAATTTTGGCTTCCAGATGCCCATATTCGTAGGAGGATGACGTCATTCAAAATTCGATGGCTCTATGTACCGTTGTTTTATGACAGTGCGAGAAATATACATACCTTTATGCAGATTTTTTATTATTTAATTTCTTCAAATATAATGCATGACTCTAACATTTGGTGGCAACAGTTTGAAAAGTGAAACGGGCATTAATAGTGATTCAACGTTAAATCGCAAAACGAAAACAATAGTCCTTCAGAGACAAAGCCCCTTTGGACTAAAAAATGCCCCTTTGGACGTAATTTAAAATCTGAAATTTTTCAGATTTTTTTCCTTTTTTTAAAATACTCCCCATTCTTTTAGATATTTTAATGTCATAGCTTAGGTTCGAAATATATTTACAAGTCTGCAAATATAAATCACTTTTATCGTCTTCCAGAAATATGTGCTGAAGCTGTTAAATCCTGCTATTAATAGACTGGGGTGGGAAGATAAAGGGAGCCACATGGAAAAGTAATTTTTTTTAAATTTAATTTTATATTTTTCATATTTCAGTGTTCATACTTTTGTTGTATATTTATATTTTATTTCTAGAAAACTGCGATCTAATGTTTTAGCAGCAGGAATACATTACGGGGATCAAGAAACTGTGGCGAAAGCAAAACAAATGTTTCAAGATTCGATGAAAAATGGCGTGAAGTAATGAGACATTTAAATTTTATTAATTAATCATTTATGTGTGTAAATTAAGATTGGTGTGTTTTCACTTTGGAATCCGTTAATATTTTTTAAATATATACTTTACAATTCGTTTTTCCTTTAACTATCTGTTAATTCTGTAATTAGTTAAAGAGAAAGATTATTTTTTAGGTATTGTTGCGTGCGTACGGGTTCGTTATGAAATGAATGCACAAGTCCGATGAAAAATGAACAAAAATTTATTATTATCACAACAAAAATGCTTAAATTTTCTCAAATTATCATGCAGTATTACAATATCTCACAGTAGTTTTCTTTTAACTACTCAAATGTCCAATAGAACGTAATTCAAAACAGCTAAAGAACGCTAATCCGCGAATTCGCTACAATCAACAACAGTAGTTTTCTAAACAACACAAACTAAGCAACTACTACAAACTGAGATGTTTTCCTCCTTTTATAAGATTTTAAAATCACGCGCTGAGAATTTTCCAGTACTTTCTCGAAATCAAAAAGAGATATTTATTATTTAATGCACGCGCTCTTGTATTTTCAATTTTCCGGCTTAGCTTTCTTTTAATATTCGTCACGCGCTGCACTGCGCGAGAAATAAAACCATTTAATTTATAATTGAACTAACATTAGCTTTTTAAATACCAAATTCGTAACACTGCCTGCCCCCTTCCCAAGGACTGCACGTCCCGGGCAGTACAATCCCTGGACAGGAAGCCAAACTTACAACTAAGGCATAAATGCAATAATAAGCATTACATTACAATAATAAACAACATGAACAATAAATGCAATACATAAAACAAATCAAATGCTAAATACAAATCAAATCAAATACACATTTAGAAACAAAAAGGACCATGGTCTTACACTATTTACAATTATTTACATTATGTACTATGGCCATAGTAATGAGCTAACCTGTCGTAATGAACGACTTTAGGTTTAGAGTTCGAAGACTTACAAATCCGAACCACGACGTCATTCAGCCTGTTTAGGACTGTGTACGGCCCATTCCCAAGGTGACTGTAATTTCGGACAAAAGTCCTTTCCGTCGAGTCGGATTCCACAACCACACCTTGTCTCCTTCGTGGAATTGATGTTCAGTAGCTCTTGTGTCGTATCGGGTCTTCATCTTCTCCGTCGCCGTCGCCAAGTTGACTCGCTCTCGTGCAAAATTGTGCATCACTTCAAACCGGGCCTGGAGATCTTGAATATATTCCTCAGACGATGAAGGAGCATCCGGAGGGCGGCCAAACAAATAGATCACAAGGCAGACGAAGGTCAAGACCGAAGAGCATCTGTGATGGAGAATAGCCGGTAGTCTCGTGGACAGCACTGCGGTAAGCCAGTAAAAAGAGTGGTAATTTCTTGTCCCAGTCCTGTTGGTTTCTGGAAACCACTAATGAGAGGTTATTAAGGATGGTTCGATTGAACCTCTCTACCATGCCGTCCGACTGGGGATGCAATGGCGTCGTTTGAGTTTTGTCAATGCCAAGTAGTTTGCATAGTTCTTTGATTACTGCCGAGGCAAAATTCCTTCCCTGATCGGAATGTAACTGAAGAGGCACTCCGAACCTGGAAATCCAGTGCTGTATCATTACCTCAGCTACTGTGACTGCCTCTTGATCAGGAATAGGATAAGCTTCAGGCCACTTGGTGAAGTAATCAATGACAACGAGTATGTATTTGTTGCCATCAGCAGTTCGTGGCAGAGGTCCCAGGATGTCAAAGGCGATACATTCAAAAGGCGCACCTACGTTGTAACGTTGCAGTCTGCCTCGGCTGCGTTTCCTCGGTCCTTTCCGACCTGCACAGGCATCGCAAGATCGGCACCACCACTTTTGCACGTCATTCTTTGCATTATTCCAGTAAAAGCGCTCACGAACTCTCTGTAAGGTCTTCATAATTCCAAAGTGACCTCCTGTAGGGCTGTTATGTAGTTCTTTGAGGACATCAGGAATCCGGGATCTTGGAAGTATCAGTTGCCATCGGAACGTCTTCCCATCATCCGACTCGAATTTCCGGTATAAGACGCCGTTTCGAATGTGAAGTGAATCCCAGAGTGCCCAGTATTGTTTTGTTGTAGGACTACAGATAGAAATGTCCTGCCATGTAGGTTTTCTGTTTGATGACTCTATTAAATCAAGTATGGGTTTAATGTCGCGGTCTTCCAGCTGGTCTTTCCTGACTTCATCATCACTCCACGGGTCTCGATCAGCCGATGTTGATGTTGTAATTTGTCTTGCGACCGGAGTCAGCAGCTCGTATTTCGCTTCCACCCTGGAACAATATCGGCAGTTTTTCTTGGCAAGGTCTTCTAGACAGGGCGTCGGCGTTTCCGTGTGATGATCCCTTACGATGACGGATAGTGATGTCATATTCTTGGAGTCTCTGTATCCACCTGGCTATTTGACCCTCAGGATTCTTGAAATTTAAAAGCCAGGCCAATGAGCATGGTCCGTGCGGAGGAGGAATTTTCTCCCGTATAGATAATGATGGAAATGTTCTACAGCTTTGACTATGGCGAGCAACTCTTTCCTTGTGACACAGTAATTCCTCTCGGTTTAGACAGGCACTTGCTCCAGTAAGCTACTACACACGTTCTTGGCCGTCTATTTCTTGGGACAAAACAGCACCGACACTTTCATTGCTCGCGTCGGTGTCGAGAATAAATGGTCTGTCGAGCTGAGGATACGTCAGGATTGGAGCAGATGTTAAAGCTTCCTTTAAGTTGTTAAATGCATCCTCGCATTCCTTTGTCCACAAGAATCTTTGCTTGCTCTCTGTCAGCTTGTGAAGTGGTCTTGCGATGGAAGAAAAGTTCTTCACGAATCTCCTATAGTAGGTGCAAAGCCCTAGGAAGCTTCTCAGCTGATGGACATTTTCGGGACGCGTCCAGGATTTAAACCGCTGATACCTTTTCAGGATCCGTGCGCACACCTTCTGCAGAGATGACATGTCCCAGGTAAGTCACTTCCTTTCGAAACAATTTGCATTTAGCGGGGAGTCAGCTTCAGATTGGCCTCTTTCAGTTTCTGAAGCACCTTTCTAAGATTTTCTAGATGCTCTTCAAAACTCTTTCCGACGATGATGATATCGTCCAGGTATATCAGACAGGCTTCGTAGGAAAGGCCTTTCAAAACAGTCTCCATAAGACGTTCGAATGTTGCCGGCGCATTACACAGTCCAAACGGCATCACTTTGAACTGCCAAAGTCCCTTGTCCCGTAGTAAATGCCGTCTTTTCTCGGTCATCAGGATGGATTTCTACCTGCCAATACCCACTCTTTAAATCAAGTGTTGAGAACCACTTGCTTCCAGAAACAGTGTCTAGAATGTCATCAATTCTAGGAAGAGGGTAACTGTCTTTCTTCGTAACCTCATTCAACCGGCGATAGTCAACGCAAAATCTTGTTGAGCCGTCTTTCTTTCTGACGAGAACGATGGGAGATGCCCATGGACTCGCTGAAGGCTCGATGACATCGCCTTCTTCCATATCTTTTAACAGTGTTCGCACCTCTTCCTGTTTAGCAAACGGTAGACGTCTTGGATGTTGTTTGATCGGGGGATGATCGCCAGTATCTATTCTATGTTGTGTCAAACTAGTTCGACCCACGTCAGAAGACGAGCGGGAGAAAACAACTTGAAGATCTTTAATGACGCGATCGGCAGCATTTTTCTCTTTATCGTTTAATTGTGCATTCTGCAATAACTTCGATGTAATGCTCTCTGAGGACACGGATTCTGGGATGTTACTCTTTTTTTCAACGCTGGTTACTGGAGTACATGTTGCAACCACTTCACCTTTCTTAATAACTCTCGACTTTTCAGTTACATTGGCGACTCTCACCGGGATAACCGTTCTGGATAGGTCGACGAGTGTTGAGGCTACTAATACTCCTTTTGGGATATTACAGTTATTGGGATATTCTATGATGCCGTAGCGGAAATTTCTATTTTCGGCTATGGATCCAGGAAGTAAAAATTTCTGTTCTTGCCGGTATTGTAATATAGTCTTGTGCTATGATTTTATGGACAGATTTAACTTCTTCATCATTAACGAGAAATAACGCTATGTCCTCAGATGTAGAATGCAATTCGTTATTTTTAAAATCCAAGGAAAAATTGTATTTCCTTAGAAAGTCCAATCCGAGTATGCAAGAATCAGTGATCTCTGCTACATATGCCGTGTGATGGTAAGCGGCACTTCCAAACGTGATGTTAACATTTACTTTTCCGTCGATGTCGATCTTCTCACCGGACACAGTCTGGAGGGTAACGCAGGGCGGCGTCCAGATAAGTTTGTTTCCTAGTTGTTGAGCCAAATCTTTTCGGATGATGGTGACGTTGGCTCCTGTATCTATAGTCATATTGCACGGAACTCCATTAATATGTCCTATTATGAAAAGTCCATTACTGCCGCCTCTCACTGCAGAAATCTGAAGCGCTTTAAAAACGGGGGCTTTTCATTATCTGGCAACCTCCGCCCCGCGAGATGGCCACTAATTAGTTTTCCCTGCTGCTTGTTAGAAGCGGTCTTAACATCAGTACCCTGGGGTGTTTTGCAGTTTCGTCGTATGTGTCCTTCAGCACCGCAGTTCCAGCACTTAACGGTCGGTTTCTCTTCTCACCAATATTCCGTCTCAAGGCGTTCAGTTGTCTAGTTAAATCGTCAAGTCGAGCGGTGACTTGATCCCCTGGCTCCTGGACTTGAGCAGCTCTGACTGGGTGGCGGGTCTCGACGAGTGGCTTGCTGGGCTGCCTCAAATTTCATGGCGTACACTAGAGCACTTTTTAAATCTTTTACATCCGCCATTCGTAAGAGCTTTCTGTATTTCAGTATCTCGGATGCCGTCGATAAAGTATTGCAAGGACAGGATTTCCCTTGTTTCTGTCGGGCATTCCGAAAAGGCGAGATGGGACAGCCTTTCAACATCCGCGGCGAGCTCCTGAAGTGTTTCGGTAGGCTTCTGTTGACGAGGATTTTAATTGGAAGCCTGCTGTAGTCTTTTAAAAACACTTTCTCCCCAAAGCGCAACTCCAAGGCGCCGGACAGAGCTTCGAAATCTAACCTTTTGTTTTTCGGGAAGAGTCTGAAGGATATCCGCTGCGTCGGCTCTTAGAGAAGCGGCGAGATGACAGGCCTTAGCTTGGGAATCCCATCCATTCGCATCCGCCACGATAGAAAATTGTGTCTTATACACCTGCCAGGAGGTCTTCCCATCATATGTGGATAGCTTCAGAGGTGGACGAGCAGGCATTGGTAAGAATTTAAAATCATCACTCCTGCTCCCTGCCGACGCTACGAATTTCTTTAAAGTATCCATTTCTTTGGCAACTGCAGAAACTATCTCATCAATTTGTTCTTTTACAGAAGAAACTCTTTCTTCTATTTCTTCTTTCACCGAAGAAACTCTTTCTTCAATATGTCCAACTTTATTTTCAACTGCACTGCGTCAATTCTGCCTTCCATAGCTTCAAATTTATTTTCTATTATGCAAGTAATTTCTCTTTTCATTTCTTCTTGACCAGCTTGAACGGCTTTCATTTCGTCCTTAACGGATTCCTGGCCCAATTTCATTTCTTCCTTAACGGATTCCTGGCCCCAATTTCATTTCTTCCTTAAAATGATGCTTGGCCAGCTTCCATCTTTTCTTGGAATGCAGCAAAAGCACTAATGATCTGTCCTCAATTGTTCTTCCATCGCTCTTGTTATTGGCATTCAAATCCCACTTCTGACACCAAAAATTGTTGCGTGCGTACGGGTTCGTTATGAAATGAATGCACAAGTCCGATGAAAAATGAACAAAAATTTATTATTATCACAACAAAAATGCTTAAATTTTCTCAAATTATCATGCAGTATTACAATATCTCACAGTAGTTATCTTTTAACTACTCAAATGTCCAATAGAACGTAATTCAAAACAGCTAAAGAACGCTAATCCGCGAATTCGCTACAATCAACAACAGTAGTTTTCTAAACAACAACAAACTAAGCAACTACTACAAACTGAGATGTTTTCCTCCTTTTATAAGATTTTAAAATCACGCGCTAGAATTTTCCAGTACTTTCTCGAAATCAAAAAGAGATATTTATTTATTTAATGCACGCGCTCTTGTATTTTCAATTTTCCGGCTTAGCTTTCTTTTAATATTCGTCACGCGCTGCACTGCGTGAGAAATAAAACCATTTAATTTATAATTGAACTAACATTAGCTTTTTAAATACCAATTTCGTAACAGTATTATATTCATTTAAAAATTTTTCTTTTGTTGTGAACATTTTTAAATTTAATTTCTGCACTATTATTTTTTAAAAAGGATGCATTATGTTGCATAATTTTCCAAAAAACATATACCCTTAAGCGCATTCCTTCTAAGTCCTGTCGGTTAAATATGCCTAATAAATTTTGCCTTGTATGTTAAGACCAATCTTTAATGATCAATGTATTAAGTATATATGATGTTCTTGACTTATTTCTTATATCTCTGAATCTCTAAAATGAGAATATGCGGCGTGATAATTTGTCCTCTTTTTTTCTCTGTATTGAAACACTATGCGGAAAAAACGTGGCTATTTAATTTCAATAAGATAATTATTTTTTTCCGAATATTGGATTTTTATTATAGAAGGTTATCCTAAATGATAATCGGATTCCAAAACCATGTACGTAAAATGTTACATGTGTAATATTAATTTATTCATGAAAAAACTGAGAATTCAGCTTCTCCATCAATAATGAGGCCGCTATCCTGAGTAATGAAAACAAGTGCGATTGCTTGAAATTTTCCTATGGTCTGTCCTTGCAAAGTAGTTGCTTCATATCCATTGAATGACAAGCCATTTAACTAGTTGAAAAACCAAAGTATAGGAACTGAGCCGTTTTAAAATCGTAAACAATATTAAGGTTTACTCAATATGCTTGAAAATAATCGTACAGCTAAATACAATAAAATTTTGATTATATGAACATGTACAAGAGAAAATCATTAATTGAAATGAATTCCAAACTATAGAATTCTAAAATAATTTTAACCTTTCTTGAAAAATTGATATTTCATTTGGTCGATTTTTTTTTGCCTTCAATTTTTCAAAATTTTCCTTGTTCCTTCAATTTTCCGAAGACGCTCGACTTTAGTTGTTGAATTATTGTTCGTAAATTATGGTTCTAGCATAAGAGGAGACTCACAAAACACAGGCTTTTAGCCAAATTATGATAATTTCAGCCACTTATTAAACACATATAATATTACACATGTAATAAAATTTCCATAAAAATTTTAATGGATGTGTATTTTTCATAATCATGTTAAAGAAAATTAGTTACAATAAGAAGCAGCAGACTTACTGCTAATTAATTTGCCCTAGGGAAATGAGAATCGTAAAACATTTGTATTAACGGTAACAATTTTCGAAAGCATATTTTTCGAAGATAGCTCTTACGTTAGAGAAACATACAGATCTAAGCATGCGTTAAAATTCCCATTCCAGAAAAGAGAAGTATTAAAATTTTTATCAATACTAATTTAGTTTTTTACAAGAGCCTTAATATCAAATTTTTCTTTAGTTACTTTTCACGTGTTGAGAATGTTTTTAAGAAATAAAATACTGAAAAGCATTCACGCCCAGTTTTGTATGTTACAGAATAAATTTTTTAAAAAGATGTTTAGAAAGATAAAGAACATTCTGCCTAAAGGTATATTTTATGTAGTAGTAGTAGTAATGAATTTCCTCGCGCAAAACCATATAGGTTATATGCAGCCCTGCCAATTATGAATTTATTTAATTGGTAACCAACAAAAATACTAAATTTTACTTTTCTTCCCAAATTTTTAATTATTTTTTTTTCAAACGGCGTCTTAAGATTCATGATCTTAATTACACATTATTTGATTTATTTCTTATATTAAAACCATATGTTTCTGAGCAATCTTTCAAGGTAAATTTAATTGTGAAATGTTATACGTTTTGTATTTTACAATTCGTCAATTACTCATATATTATATAACTCATATATTTATTAATAATGTATGAGTTATTAATAACTCATATATTTAACTGATATCTTTTGTATTTTTGTTACATACTTATTTTTTGAGATAACCTGCTTTTAGAATTCGTTTAGAATCCGTTTGGAATGCATGATGCTATTTTGCTTATCCTTTGAGTCCTGCTAATAATGTTTTCATTACTAGAGTTCCTCCCAACTTGCGTAGTGCCGTGTATAATGCTGGTGTAAAATATGGTGGCAAAGAAGAATGGGAATTCTGCTGGAAAAAATATGAAGAAACCCAAGTTCCTTCTGAAAAACGACTACTTTTAACAGCTTTAGGAAATACTCAAGATGAGTCACTGTTATCCCGGTAAATGAATATTGGTATATAGCAGTAAATTTTTATGCAGCTGTTATTATTGTTGAAAGCGAATTTGAACTTTTTAGTTTCAGTTTTAATATAGATAAATTGCTTGTGTTAATGATTCTATAAGTGATTATACGTTCATCTGCAGTGGGTCGATGGTAATCATTGATTTAAAAAAGGTTTTAATCTAAGAATTTTTTTCTCTTGTATGGTAATTTATACACGTTTTTACTTCTAATTGTCTTTGTCAATATCTTTATTCTGTGAACACCGCTGTATTGATTTATTTAGAGTTTTCAGTTTAGTACTTTCTGTGTAACTTGGTTATGAATTTGTGAGGTTTGATGCGCAATCCTTAGATAAAACATTAGCTTAATGTACCTTCATGGTATATAAGCCTGCCTATCATGCTCAGGATGTAACTTGCCAGAAATCTGTAGGCATTACAAGTAGACATAACTCTCAGATAAGCAGCAGCGTGAAGCACTTGCCGGAAATTATAGTAAAAGTACTTATCGGGTGAATTTAACTATAGACGCAGAATGGGTTATTTTATTCACCAAGTTGTTGTACATATATATTTACTGAAAAAAATCGTATTGCTACCAATTTAACAATAATGAAAACCTCAAATATCGGTGAGAAAATCCTGTAGAGACTCGGTGAATCTCTACAGGACATTAATACCAGTCGGCGTAAAGAGTTGAAGCCTGCTCAGACTGACTGGAAATATTACGGCCTTTCATTGTATACCTAAAGTACTGTAATAAAACCCAAGTAACGTTAGAGAGTGGAATGTATGATGCTTACAGCATTCCTGCGGCTGTGGGAACTAATACTTCACAGGTGTTCCACAACTGATTGTCCATGATTGAGTAACTTGAAAATGGAACTTTATAAAGAGTGGTCTCATGTTTTCTACTCAGCTGAATAGTGATTTTAGCTGAAACAGGCAGATTGAAATAAAACAGCTCTTCTACATTCCTGAAAACAGCAATCATATTCCTTCATATCATGAAGAATTTCATGGCAATTTTTTTAATATTACCGTCCAAAACGAAACTTAATTTTAGTAAATATATACACCTCGTTCATCAGGTTATATATAACGCTTAGTCCTAACATCAGCAAACGACGTTTGAAATATTTTAACAAACAAGTATGGTTATTTTTTGTACAGAAAACAATACTTCAGATTTACTATTAAGCGTGGATTTCGTTTAATAATCATAACAGTTATTAATGTATTTTTTAATAAATTCTCTCTTCTTGAGATACGTAGAATTGGTTTAGTTATTAAGACTTTCCTATGCATAACAGACTTAAATTAGTTGCTCTAATTTAATACATATATTTTCATATATGCTAAAGGTGTTTTTCAGTTTATAATACTGAGTTCTTTGTTTAAGATAGGAAGAAAAATTATTTTTCTGGTGTAGCATCATATTAAAACTGCTGTATTAGTTTAATGAATATTTTCCTACGTCAAGAAACACTACTAAATTTCTCTGATGGTTTATCATCAAACATCATAAATGTTATGTGAGAAGTCCTTTTTGCGCCTCTCGAGTCGGTATACCGGTTAGCCTTGCTGGCTGACATATCAATATGCCCGGGCACAAACCCTGTATATATGTAAATCTGTAATGTCTTTGCAGCATGGGACACTCAAAATACATAGCTATCAGATGTTACTTTTGAAGTAAGATAAATCACAACAATATACTATTTTTCGTAGGCAGCTTTATTTCTCGTAATTCTTCAAGGACATCATATTTAAATTAGGCATTTATAACAGCTTTTATTGAGTTTTCAATTGGCATTTGGAAGGTATGGAATTGGATTTCTTTTCTTGTAAGTATCTTGCTACATTCCTGAAATCGCCTAGTGTTCAAAGGAAAAATTTTAATTGATTTGCTTTCGCAACTTAATATAAATACTTCTACGAAAAAAATATTTTTCAGGTTCTTCTAAGATTTTCCAAACAACTTCTGCTTCTAAAAAAATTATTGGACGAATCTTATATTTTCTATAGAAGAAATTTTTCATGATGTTATACTTTCCTCTTCCGTTGTTTCTTTGATTCTGCTAAAAGAGTCAAATTTATTTGATTTCTTCGCTTCAGGTACTTCTTATTCGACAATTTCCTATAGGCTGTTTTCCGCTGTTTTTGTCATTTATATGTATGTAGGTATTTCTTTCAAAATAGAGAGCACGACTATTGCATTTTAAATGCTTTTATTTTACTAATAAGAAATAGATAAAAGTAATAAAGATAAATTAAGTAAAGATTAATGTTTCAGGATTCATGTAATGATGAAAATTTCAGTCCTTTCACACAAACATCTATGGATAGCTTTAAATAGTATGATCATCTAAAGGCAGTTAACACACAAGAAGACCGTCTGTCTTCTTTAACTCTTGAAAGCATGCGAGCCGTCTGCTCACATCTCCACTCTCCAATCTCGACCACGTCTGGACGCTATCTGACGCTGTCTGGAATGCTTCGCACTGCGCTGTGCTGGAATGACGTCATTGCTGGTAATTCGCTAAGTCAGCATTGGTCGTTGATCTGCACAGCTTCGGCCAGCCTGAAGAGGCATCGTCCTCGATGTGTGTTGAATGGACATCACTATCATGTACCTGCAAAGAGAATAAAAAAAAAAAAAAAAAAAAAAAAAAAAAAGAGTATCAGGTCCTTAGGTTTTGAGCTGATACAAACATCAATCAATTTGACCATGGCTTCATATGGTCAGCCGCAGTAGATGTCAAATTCGGTTCTTCATGGTATCCTACTTTTTCGACTTCATATCGGTCATTTGGTCTAATAGCTATGATTTTATACGGTCCATGAAATTTGGGTCATAGTTTCAAACCAGTCTCATACTGAATTCTCTGAATGGCTACCAAGTTGCCAATCTTGTACAGTTTCGGTTTCTTTCGTCTCTTGTTAAATTGTTTACGATTCTCTTCTTGTATCTTCAAAATGTTGTTTTTCGCATCTTCTCTCATTTCATCACGTTCTTGTATCAATTGCTTTAGATATTCTTCATTCAATATCTCACTAATTCTCAAATCTTCCTTGTTCTTCATTTTCGTGCCTATGAGAAGCTCAAACGGTGAATATTTTGTACTTCTTGCTGTTGTACTGTTGATTATTCTCTGGACATCTGGAACATACTTAAACCATTTCGTTGAATCTTCATGCGATAATTTTGATAAAACAGGAATCAAAATTCTATGGATTCGCTCAATCTGTCCGTTACCTCTTGGAATACCGGTAGTAATTTTGACATGTTCCATACCTTCTTCTGTACAATAAGCTGAAAATTCTTTCGATGTAAAGGCACTACCTCGATCTGAAATGATTCTGACTGGATTTCCAAATACAGTCTGTTGTTGCTTCAATTTTGAAATAACTTCTTGCATAGTTGGTGATTTCACTGGATAGAACCAAGTAAATTTCGTAAAAGCATCGACCACAGTTAGAATGTGTTGGTATCTCTTGTTCGTTGATGGAAGAGGTCCAATAAAATCGACATGGTACGTACTCGAGGGAACGTTTTCTTTCGGTACAGGATGAAGAAATCCTTCTGCTTTTCCTTGCAATATGGTGGCAAAGAAATGGTGGCAAATATAATTGCTAACTGTATACATTCTATACAGTTAGCAATTACCTTTTCAACTTTCATTTCAGTCTGGGAATATAGAATTCTTGCTCTGCGGCATTCACGGTTTTATCTACAACAAAGTGACCTTTTTTATGTACTTTCTGTATGATTTCGTTCTGTAAGGATTCTGGCACTACTAGCAGATCTTTACCATTTTCAAATTTGAACAAAATATCATTTCTCACGAAGAATCCATTTTCTTCTCCCTTCTCAACTAAATTCTTTATCAATTTCACATGTTCATCTTCATTCTGTTGTTGTGCTAACCGAATCTTCTCAGTTACATCGGATATGTATGATATTAAAATTAAAGCATTTCTAATTAGAGCATCAGCATGTTTCATTTGGCTTCCTGAACGATGTACAATTTCGTAATCGAATTCTTCAATATACATTGCCCATCTCGCAATCTTAGGAGTTAAATCTTTCTTATCTAAAGCTTTCTGAAAAGCACTACAATCAGTTACAATTTTGTATTTAGAGCCTAACAAATAGTTTCTAAACTTCTTCAGAGCTTCTACAACTGCACAGGGGCTTCTTATTCGTAACTACAGAGTTTTTTTCTTGCTGTGCGTGTGTCTTCTATACTCATATACTGGAATTGGGTGATAATTAGCATCATCAGACAATTGGAGTAATACCGCACCAAAGCCTTGACTACTAGCATCAGTATGAAGTTCTAATGGATATCCTTGCCTAAATATGTGTAGAACAGGTGCCTGAGAGAGAATTTCTTTTAATCTACAAAACGCTTCCTGTTGTTCGGAATCGAACTTAAAACCAATACCTAAGCAAGTCACTAAGAAGTTTAGCTATTTTAGTATAATGAGGAATGAATTTACGAAAATATCCCGTTAGTCCTAAAAAGCTTGATAGTTGTTTACAGTTACGCGGTTGTGGAAAGTTTTGAACAGCAACAGTTTTGGAAGGCGATGGTAGAATAGTTCCGTTTTCAATTACATGTCCCAAAAATTCAATTTTGCTTTTTAAGAATTGGCACTTTTTGAAATTTATTTTTAATCCATATTCCGAAGCAGTTTTGAATACTCTTTCTAATTTGTCTAAACATTCAACTTCATCATTAGCCGGTATGACTATATCATCCATATAAATAATTAGTACACCCTCATTTAGCAAGTCACGAAATACTGAATAAATATACCTTTGAAAAACATTTGGACTAATACATAAACCAAAAGGAGCTTTAAGAAATTCGTAAATACTATTATGTGTTACAAACGCAGTGTATTTTTGTGCAGTTTTCATCTATATCTGCATGGAAAAAGCCATTTTTCAAATCTAGAGTCGTGAAGACCTTTGACTGTTCTAAAC